AAAAACCCTTTTGGGACAAAAGCCGGTGGCACAAAACCCATTCGGGACCAAAAAGCTAACCTCCATAGAGAGCGTCAACCTGTGAACCAGTACATCGCAACACAATATAATAACGACTTTTGTAGTTTAGTGTTTAAAACCGTAAAAAAAAAGCACGCTGTTCCTAAATGTTCTCGCTGCTGTCTAGCTGAGAGATACACTGCAATCGTCCTAGCGAGAACTGAATCAGTTCCGATAAGTACTTCCGCCCGAAACGACATTACGATATCCAATTAGTTGAAGTTAAATTTGAAACTTCAACACGATCTTTTCGGTGTACAATTTTGTGGTCCGGAAGTCATTCTAGAAATTCGCAGGGATGAACAATACTTCAGCACGCTATATTTTACTGCTAGCGTGCTCCATCTAATTTTATTTTAACAGCACGATAGTGTTCAGCTGGCCATTAATAATTCCAAGTCCATAATTACTACGTGGATACTTGCAGTCACGATTCTTGAGATTTCAACAATGAGGTGCAAGACTGGTTAAACAGACGACACATCCATGCTGATTGACATGGCGGCCGAGATCGCAGCCGGCGTGGGGGCATTGGCGACCTTGTCGTCGGCCTCGTGTCCTAGCAGACGAAGGTGCGTCGAGCACAGACCATTGCGCCTGCACGAGCGGTTGCAGTTTGAGACGCTACACCGCTTACCCCCACCGTGGTGCGCACAAAAGCCCCCGCCGCGGTCGTTGCGCATACAGCCTGGGATTTCGCAGAATCGAGAGCCTCCGTGCAGCGCACAGAAGTCTCCACGCTGCGTCCCTTTGTTGCATCCTTGAGCTGCGCAACGCTTACCACCTCCGTGGGCACGACAAAATCCGCCGCCTTGGGAGCTCTTCGTACAGCCAGGGAACTGACAGCGTGGTCCTCCGCCATGCGCCTTGCACAGTGCGTTGGTCTGCGCGGCCTTGTCACAGCCTGGGTATTTACAACGCTTGCCACCTCCATGTTTGATGCACATGTTTCCTCCTTGACTACTCTTCTCGCATCCTTCCACCATGCATCGACGGCCACCGCCGTGGGCAATACACAAGTCTTGTGATCGTGCACGCTTGCCGCACCCAGCGACAGAGCAAAGCCGGCGTATCCGCTTGGGTTTCTTGATTCCGTCCGTGTTCGTTGATACCTTCATCCGAGACGGCGCTAGCTGCGAGACAACGTTCGTTTGTGTCGTATCCGTTGGGATGGCGTTATTGGCCAGTGGCGATGATCCTACCGCTGAAAAACCAGACGAGGATCCGTTCCAGTCGCTATCATCGTCCTCCAGCAACGCCAATTCGGGGATTGCGGTTCCGTTCATTGCCGCCAAGGTGGCAGCAGGCGGGTGGGCCACCTCGTTTAATAGCGCATTATTGCCCATGACGTCCTGGAACGTAGGGTGAATATCCATCATGGTCTGTGGTGTGTTGTTGCTGCTGAAGTATGGAACCGAGTTCTCTCTCAACTGGTTGTCGACCAGGTGATCCCTATTCAAAGCACACTGGTTCATCCCTGCGGCATTGATATTCGCGCCGTCAAACTGGGGGTTGTACGTGGCTCCTCTGTTGTAAGGCGTAGGCAGAGTCTCGCAAGCCTGGTACGGCATCACAAAATTGCTGTCCACACCGATGAACGGATCCACTGGAGGATTCATAGGCTGCTGCATACTGTTGCTGTTAATCATGGATCCACCGCTACAGAAGCTCAGCGCCGAGATTGTCATGCCCATGGTGCTCGTAGTCGGCGTCACTATCGCGGAATCAGGCTGGTTGTTCTCGCCCACCATGAGCGCGTTCGGATCGTAGAGCGGCTGAGAATTGGCAGGCGCTGGATCGTAGCTCCAGTCAGCCACGGGTGTCTGTGGCTGATCGGCGTTCAGGTTCCAATTGTTAGCAAGCATGCCCATCATGTCTGGATCCAGCTCGTAGATTGGGGTCGCTATCATTCCAGTATCGTTCGGATCTCTCTTTAGCTCGCCGATGTCAGTGCTGCTGCTGTGGTCGTGATACTGTGGGTAGTCACTGACGTGTTTGTCAATGGTGTGGTGCATTGTGGGCTTGCTTAGTACCAAGGCGTCGTCGCTGTAGGCCGTGAAGGGTAGGATGAGACCGGGGACTCGGCCTTCGTCGTTCTTTTCACAACCAAGTCGATATTGAGGATGTATGATGTCCTGACGACGACTATCGTCTTTTACAACGCCGTAGCCGCCGTCGAGCGCGCGTGGCGCCGTCGCTGAATTGATCTCGCTTATTGAAGAGTGTCCGTGTCTCCAAAGCAGCGAGGCTGCCTGTCCGTGTCGCAATGGAGGCTCCGTAGACAAGGAGCGCGTTAAACTTCGGCTGCGGCTCGGGCAGTGCTTTTCTTGTCTATGCAGCGAGCGTGTTGGCCTCTTTTAAGGTCGGATGATTGTATTTCGTGCGCCCTCACGGGGCGCGACACAAGTTGGTACGGTCGCACAAGCTTACAAAACGCAAGTAGTTTCCGCAGACCAGACGAATTCTGTGGAGTACTAAAATCGGTGATCGCAGCTCTATGATGCGCGGTGTCAATACCGAGGCGACTGGCAAGACGAGTTGCCCATAGCACATACTGTCCATGAGCGAAGGGCTGCTATCTAAATGAGACATCAAGTCAAAGCTGGGGGCTCACATGATAATTTAAATAAGACAGTAACAGCGCGTCATCGTCACACCCTGATCCTGGGAGCGGTAGTTAGCTGGGCAATGCATTGGAACGTCTCTGTCAGCACTGGCATAGGAATTGTTACCCTACATGGAATGGGCGCGTCCACCTCAGGAGTGCAATTATTGGGAAGGGGATGTAGTAGTGGAAAAATATACTTCACGTGTATTCTTGCGGTGAGTTGATTAACCGCAGCTAATGAGGGCATGCGTGCCGGTTTAGAACAGAAAAAAAAAACTTAGTACCAACTTTTGACTGATTAAGTGTTTGTGAATTCACGACTTAACATAGCTTAACAAAGTGTGTCCACATGAGCCAGCTTGCGGATACAGGGACTTGAGTGATGCTCGACGAATGCGTGAATAGGTCTGTGGTTTTAAACCACTGGTTTATCACTTAGTACGCCCACTGCCGTGATGTCAACGAGAATGCCGCTGCCACCTTCAGCACTGCGATTGGTTCCATGAGGTTTAATTGAAATACAGATATGTATTGTCACCGGTAGGCCGGGACTAAGCAAAAACCAGAAGTCAAGATTTCTCCGACTAAGCGTCGTCACACAGCCACGCGCGCTCACTAAGCATTCCAGTGAGACTAAAGTAACGCTGGGGTAGTCTATGGGCTCAGATGTACTTAGTCGGAAAATTGTCATAAACCAGTGGAATTAGTTCAATTTTTTCAATGGTACGGATACTACGGAACTAGTGCATCTGGATGCGATCACAACATGGAACACAATACATGTATAGATGCATGGGGGTGTGGATATTCCCCAACAGCTACCATGCACTAGGCTCTTTGGACGAATTCAAGCGCGCCTCAGAGTTATTTTCTTCTAAAAAAAAACATGTTTAATTGCTAATAGTAAGTATTTCCAACTATAAGAGCATGCAAGAGAAAAACTTCTTTGAACCTTCTGGTCACACGTGAATTGTACGCAAGACGGCGGTAGTAGCTTCTGTCTGGCGATAGCCGCTGCTACATGGAATATAGTTGTTAGTTTCTTCATCCGTGATACGTGGAAATAATACTCAAAGTTATCCCTTGATTTCAGTACTAGTTGGTCTATTGGATTATGGTATTTCTGGTGCGCCTTCGTTGCAGAGACGGTCACACTGCGTCTCTTTGCGCCCTTGAAGAGCGCTGCGCGTATCGCTTGCGCCAGATACGTTTAGCGTGTCCATGCACCGCCGTAACGTACTGCGTATGTTGCAAAATGTGCGCCATCCTATAGTCCACCTACCGCACGGATTTCTGCAGCGAGCTCGGTGAAGCACGACAACTATTGTAGCGTGTTTAGTGTTAAAAAAAAAATGATGGTGAGAAACTTCAATATATTGTGCAGCGCAGTTTTCGGGCTCCCGCCTGGTACTTGCTTGTTGGTTTCTCCGCGGAAGACAAACAACCAGCGGAGATATGACTGTACTACAGTCACTGCAGCCGTACAGTCTACCTTGGCGCCGAAGCAATTGAGGTCATCAACAGGTAGGTGACACTGCTCACTTGTATTCTCAGTGTGCCTTAATAAATTATAAAACGACGCTGTCCAGGGAAACTTTTGCCGACACGCACTGAGCGGCGAGACCGTGGTGCTCAGACAGCAAATACACCATACCGTACTACCTTTTTTTTAGTCGTCATGGAATTCTTGAAGCGCGGTACTGGCAATGGCCGGAGCTTAGCTAGCTAAGCATTTTCAGCGTTGAAGGGTTCGACGGACATTTTCGGTGTGCCGTTCAAAGAACATACCAGTTTTTCGTTTCAATGCGAGGTGTATTACACTCTGTTGCCTATCTATCGACTAAGAAAATATGCATGCATCAAACAAGGAGCATACCAGTTGATTGCCATCAAGGTGCGGGCTACGTAGGCCGCAGTCTCGCTGCCTTTCGTCGTACAAAAATCGACTTCTGCTTTTTTGTTGTCGTTGGTCTGTACGAAGACGGAACTCCACGGTTCAACGAAGCCACTGAATTTTCGACTAAGTTGGCTTCACAAGCAGCAACAGTTACCTGATACGGCACCGCGCAGTTGTTTTTCCTGCGACGAACAGACACGTGCAGCAAGGGGAAACATGCTAGAACGGCGGGACGTGCACATGAGCCATTTACGTTGGGCTGAGAACATGTTGCAGTTAATAACGCGGAAATCTCCTCTGTGCGAAAATCACAGGCATGCCGGTGTTCGAAGACAAAAATTATAGATTTACAAGCCATGTAAACCTATAATTTTGGTTGACATACCTCCTGTTCTATCAACTGCACTTCAGTAGATAAAGTCATGTCCTTTTCGGGCAGTTTCCACATTGGTCTCTCGCTTACGTACTGTAAGAACGTGTACGTGGCCTGACGTGACAACTATCACGTGTGCATAGACATATAACGTTTTGTCGCTTTGTCAAGTTGTGATGAGTTAACAATATTGCGAATGGATATATTTTCGAGAAACCACAACTTGTTGCTTATCCCACTACATTCAGGTTGACACTATTACTTCCATGCTTAACTACACTTACAAATAAAACATCGCAGTGCGGTACAATTACGAGTGGCACTTCTTTCGTTCGCTTCCGCACGCATATGTCACTTTTTCTGACGCATTTGCAGCGATACCCGAAGTTGAAGACGCCCAAGTAGTCTTCCTCCAAGTGTTAGTGGCACACACACATCACGCTTCTTGCCCATGCCCTCGGCGCAAAAGGTGCCATGTCCAAAGAACTTTTCCGAAGAAAACGATGACGCCGAGCTTACAGAGCTGTTGTGTGGGGTCGGTGAGCACGTGGAGGCGATCGAGTTGTTGCTGGTGTGCGGAGACAGCGAGCAGCTACCTCCAAGTAACCGTGAAGCGGACGAGGTCTTGGATAATGAGCGGCCTCGACCTAGCGAGCGCAACACCACAGCTACGTGCTTGCGACCAAGAGCGCCTGCCATGGTGTGATATCTTAGCCCACCATTTACGAACTCATGCCACTTTAACGTGTGGAAATTGGAGGTGGGAGTGATAGTCGATGCGAAACCCATACCACCGGAGTTTCCGCTATCAGTCCCGCCAAACGTCAAGTGCTCAGCTACTTCGTGGAGCTTGCGTTGGTGGGCAAACACATCTTCACATGGCAATGGAAAGAGGAACCCGAATTCCACGTGCTCGGCGCGGTCGAACAATGCAGAGTCGACAGCGTCGATCCAATGGATAGACCGAAACTCGATCCGTAAGCGGAGCTCACATGCACCTGGGACGTCTTTCATCCGCGCAGAAGAAAGCGTACGGTCAGCACGGAGGATCATGGGGTTGGCATCCGTCGAGTTTGCGTTCCACTGGGAGTCTTCCGCCAACAGAGATGCTGGAGAAGCTTTCTGGGGTGACGTCAATAACTCTACCTCAAAGCAGGCAGACACTGGCTTGTGGTCCGACGAGGTCACTGCCTCACAAGATTCATAGGATACACAGCGCAGTGCGTCCCGCATTCCTGCTAGCGAGCTGTAGAATATACGGTCCGTGTAGGACGGCACTCTGTAGCCGCCGTGAGTGGCTACAAGTGAGTAGTTTTGCTGAAATGAGATCGCGTCGAGTGGTTCTCGAAGAGCTTGTCCGCGAATTCGGCGAAACGTTGGAAAGAACGTGATTTCGTTTTCCTGGAAGCCGTGGAAAAGCTGTTGTGAGCGGCATAACTGGTACAGCTCATCGTGTTCCTCGACCAGTGTTCTTAACGAGAACGGTGCTGAACTGCTGTCGCTATTGCTTGTTGATGTACCTGCACGCCCCCTGGCGTACCGGTGGTTTCTTCGTGCTGTCACGATTGGTGTTGGGCTCTGCTCTTTGGGAGTTACACATTGTCGGAAGTCACCTTCATCTGAAGTCTGAAGCATCGCTGGCGAACATGGTGATGATAATTCCATGGTGTAAACGTCTTCGCACGTCTGATGCTGTTCATTTCCAGCATTCACAAGGAGCTCTAGCATATCCATCGGTGTCGCTCCTTTGCGAGTCATACGATAGTTTAAATCTCCGAGAATAAAGCTGTGATGATGCAGATGCGAGAAACCAAAGCCATAGTCCTCTTCGTCCAAGTACAGCTGCTGTAGAATTTCCATCGCATCTTGGTTGCGTCGCTCCACTTTCGATGGTGGTTGATGTGCCTCTATAGTCATTCCATCATATCCTAAAGTTTTGCTCTGTCCGCTGTCCCCGCCACTATTCCGTGCATTTCCGGTGAAATTCATCTCCACAGAATTGTCGCCAGCTTTTTGAGTTTGTAGAAGGGCGTTGGTGCTTTTCTTGCGTTTGGCTCGCTTTAAACTTGATGAATCGGACGCCAAATGGCATGTTACGAACGCAAACGACGTATTGTCGAAGCGGAACGATATGCCAACAGCTCCTTTGTTGGATGCGCGGCCGAAGAGCAACAATGACTTGCCGCGAAATACTTCTTGAGCGTTTTTGTTGCTGCTTTGTCTGTGAGGCATTCGAAAGCGACCCGACGCTACAGCTGTAGCGCGTACAAAAATGCAGAGCGCAATGTAGCCATGATAACCCAACGCCGTAGCTCGCTTGCCAATCTCGCGCGAGTAGTGCACGTATTTACTGGTAGATCCGGAGACGAGGTGGCGTAGAATTTTGATCTGCAAGTCTGCGAGGTCCATACATTCTTGCACACCGATCACGTACACGTCTTGCCCTAATGGAATCCACTCACGCTGTAATGCACCATACGCGCAGTTAGAGATTAGTTAACACCGTAAAGAAAAATTAGAGAGCACAATGTTACCAGCTCGCTTTCATTGACATCTTTCTCCCCCATGTTGAAGGTGGACGCGAAGATGGCAATTTTCTTGGGCTCGACTGCAGCAGGTGGCGATGGATGATGCAACGAGAAGCGCTTTTGCAAACGCTGGTGCCAAGTACGGTAACTGTAGCTGTGGTCTTCTTGAGCTTTGCGAGAGTGATTACCCTTGTCTACACTCGATTCTCCACTGTCCGACTCACACGAAACCTTTCGACCTGCTTGAGTCAAGGCAGTTCCAATCCTCGCAGATGAGCGGACTATGGAGTCATGTTCATCTTCCGCGACGGCTGGACGCTTCTTTACAACGTAGCCGCCCAAAATGCTTTCAGTCGGTGAAGATACACTCTCTGCCTCACACTCACGCGGTGGTGGCAAGTCCTTAGTTCGTCTACGGCATATCCCGCCATATACGATCGAGTTGGAAAACCCATTTAGATCTTGGATCACCTGCATGGCGAGGCCTACACTCAAGCTGTCCATGTCACCAGCCTCGAAAACTTTGGACATATAAAACGTTACTGTTCTTCATTTTTATTCATCAACGATGGAAAAGATCGACTTACCGCGGTAGATCATCATTGGCGTGCGGTGGGCAATGAAAACGAGAATGTAGAGCAGTAACTTGCGGCGAATCAGCATGGAAGAAGTGTCAGCCTCCACTGTATCATGTCTGCCAACCCAAATGTCATGTAGAAGTGTTAACCAAAAGAGCTATTGTACTGTTAGGAATTGCACGCACCTTGCCACTCGCTGCTTCATGTTAAAGTGGATAAGTGCGAGCAGCACAAAGTTGAATACAATCATGAGCAGATAGAAGAGGTAGAAATTGAGAAACATGTAGCGGATCTCGTTAAGCCAGCAGTAAAACGTCGCGTCGCCGTACTTGTTTGCTACCGTTGGACAACACACACAACCGTCAGTTCGCGTTTAAAGAAATTCCCTCCCCTTTATCATCATACTCATGAGGTGGAAGACGACCAAGCTCGCTCCTGGAACCACTGCAAAGGCCAAGAACAAAGGAAATCTTCTTTCTCGCGTTGCATCGGACTCACCGCCCGCGATCCAGCGATAGAGGTTGAAGGCCATACAGCAGATCCAGATACAACTAGCGAGGTTGCCCGCCTGTGTAATGGCTGCCTGCGCTCGACAGAGCGCGTAGTTATGCACAACACCGCGGCCGACAGCGCGCGTCGCGATGGTAACCAGGTCAAAGAGCGCCAGTACAAGCACGAGCTTGTCGATAAAGTCCATGCGGTTGCGCTGGCGGCGCTGGAGCTGGAGTGGTAGCTGCTGCGGAGTGAAGGACTCCAGTCGTCGTGGCTTGCAACAGTGTGCGTAACCGAAGTGTGCAAGCACGTAGAGCGTCCCAGAGAGCGACAGCGCGCTGGACAAGTAGCCAACGATCTGTAGTCGCTCCTCCTGAGCATCCGAGAGCGACGCGTTGGGACCCGCGTCGCTCATGCCGACGAAGCGAGCGAGGCGAAGGCGCGTGCGGAGTAGTGGCGGCTGCAGGAAGGCGGGCTCGATCTCGGGCTTTTGATGGAGTTGGCGTACTGTACAGTGACCTTGGACAGCCTCGCGTTGTCTGCAGAGAGTGGGAGTGCGACCTGATGGAGACTTCTGATTGGCTGCTCGCTTCAAACTGAACAGAAACGAGTCAGAAGGGTTCTAGACATGGGTACCACGTTTTCGATACCCTGTAGAGCTCCAAGCCCAGAAGGCGACGCCGATGTTCGTCGGACTGTATGGTAATGGGGCGGCTCAAGTCGTTGATAGTCGCGCTCCGGCGAGTATTTGATTTAGAGAAGGATACGTACGATTCGTGCTCACAAACTACCCTTATTCGAGTAAAGCTATCGGTGTTGCTGCTGGGTAGCGAACTTGCATCATCCACGGGCGGATTGTGGTCGCTGAGTCAGCAGCCGAGGCGTATCTGAGAACGATTGGATCTGAAAGCACAATAGCGAGCCTTTCACGCCATAGAGAGCTCGATGGCGTACTGTGGCCGGCAGGTAAAACGGAACTGCTCATGATAAGCCTTGGCTTGTCACTAAACTCGCCAGATTCAGACAAGGCCAATTGTACTACTCGCATTCGTGATTTAACTAGTCCAGTCGCTAAGGGAAAAACAATGCAGCATTGCTCGAGTTTAAAATCCGTTACGAGCAAAGAGACGAGCGAGCACAGCAGGAGCTCTAGCATTCGGTAAATCAAGCGGGAGGATTGTGTAGAGATAATTCATTCCTCTACAGCAGGCGGCGATTACTTTAGTCCAACACAAAGTGACCGCCGTGGCCCATAGCGAAATTGCTGAGTGTGTCCATGTCGGCGTCGTGCTCACGGTTGATTTCGCGCACCAAATCCTTGATGGACAGCATGCCGATTAGATCGCCATCGTCGTTGACCACGGGCAAGTGACGAATGTCCTGAAAAAACGCAAGGAGCAAAAGAAATTTAAGTTAGCACTTACACACATGCAGATCACGCATAAGCCTTACACTGGAGAGCATCTTGGTCATAAGCTGGCTGGGAGTCTCATTCGCATAAGCGACGATGAGACGGGCTCGGTTCGTCATGATCTGCTTCACGAGTGTGTCTTTGGCCGTGAGCCCTTGAAGCTCCACCTTCTTCAGGTAGTCGCGCTCCGTGAGGATACCTACGAACTTGCCGCCTTCGCCACTGACGGCGAGACAGCCGAGGTTAATACCCGCCATGCGCTTCAGTGCCTCAAACACGGTGGCCTTCTCAGGGATGACGAAGTTGACGCCATTGTAGCAGGACTTGCTCATCATGTCCTTGGCCAGGCCCTTAGTATACACGCTGCGACCACTTACAGGCGTCGTAAAGGCGCCAGCGCGCTTGACAAGCACGCGGGAGGCGAACAGGAGGGTCATCCTAGGTAGTACGCACTTTGGAATCGCAGCGAAGCTTTAACGTGCAAGGAGACTGTCAGTTGGATCTGCGCAAAAATAAGCAGGGCTCTTGCCCCTCTAATTGCATCACGCCGCTTCATCGAACGTTGAAATGTGCTGACGTTTGTATGGTATGCAAATAGAGAGGTTTTGTATCTTGCACTTCAACTTGGTTACGTTTGGGCCTTTGTGCAAGATGGAGCGAGCGCCCACCGCTAGCAGAAGCTCGAGGCCAGGCACACAGCAGCCGTTGCCAGGGAATCCAAACTGGAGAATCTCCTTCGGTTTCTGGACAGAGCTTGACGCGCTGTATCACTCATTTCCGCCACCGTCGAAGCCTCGCTGCCCGAGTTTGTCACTCGATTGCGCCTCGGAGTGGTAGGATGTTTCTCATACTTTGCTAGCATGTAAGGCAACGTAACAACGTCCTCTTAATCTGCAGGAAAAAACGCCTAGTGGCCGAGGACATTGAGCAATTCCTGGGCAACCCAGCAGCAGCAGCTTGCCTCCGTGCAATCACTAGTAATTCAGAAACGGACACTGCACCAGCTTTCACTAACTTCATTATCAGCGTAAGCTTATCTTTTCAGTCTTAGCTGCTTTTGCACCAAACTGAGTTGTGTCTTTGTTACTGCTCAGGGTGGACATTCCACCGGCAAGGCCGCATTTGCTGGTATTCTCCGAAAAACTCTTCTATCAGCAACACCAGAACAACCGTGTCGTTTCTCTTCGCTTAACGCTAGTGAATTCGCGTAAGACTTTTTACTATACCGATGCAGCTTGAGCGTACTAAACGTTGCCACCGATGGTGATTCTAGTGACAAAGCTCTACAGGGGAAGTTGGAAGAAGCAGTCAGGCGTCTGGATGCTTCGAAAACTGGATCTCCATCATTTCTGATAATTGAACGATTCGAAAGGTACACATTTTACATTCGAGCTGTCTTATATAGCTACACCTGCTTACATTTACTGCCATCTCTCCAGTATTACTCCTAGCGTGCAACAGCACTTCTTCGCTCCGTTACTTGCAGAGGCAAATCTAAAGAAAGTATTTGTGATTTTACTTGTACGTCCGGATGTAAGCAAGCTTGCGGAGCAAATAAAAACTCAATCCATGGCAGTACACCTGCGACCATTGTCAGCTAACCTCATCCGGACCAAGTTGCTGTTTATTTGCCAGCAAGAACGGGTAAGACGCATGCTGTTTGTCTTCTGCACTGTACCGGTTGCCCACAATAAGTTCATTTTCTTAGATTGGGTACACACGTGAAGGGCTGGAAGAGCTTGCCAAGTTGTGCTCGTTCAAGTTGATACCCTGCATGGAGAAACTACACGAAGTGTTCCTCAAACAATACTTTATCAGCCAGGCCAACGTGATTAAAATCTGCCAGCCAACATCCAGCGGAAGCTCAAATTCACCTGCGGTACCACCATTTCAGCTCTCTATTCTTCGGATGAGCGAACCTCTTCGTCGCTGCCCTAAGTGTACGCTAGTACCTCCGTGTTCGCATATCCCGCTAGAGAAACTGTTCTCCAAGATCGACCAGACAAGGGCACTTTACCCGGAAAATGGACGAAAACAACACACCGCAACCGCAGTCATGACTGGCGACCCTGGCGGGTCTGGCCATTCACCGAATAGCAATCCCCCAACTACATCTGAACGACCAATTTGCCCTTCATTCAGACAGCGCGGCGTCTGCATTAACGTTCAAAAATTGGGGCGCTGTCATTATGCACACCCGTTGGATCTCCACGTGATTGATACGGCAGCACTGGTGCCAAGATGTAGAGCTCACACATTACCACTCCCATGTATGCACTGCAGCAATGCCGAGCAGATCAAACTTGATGTCCGAAAGGAGGCCACTACCTGTGAAAATCTAAAACGTGACCTGTTGCGCAGTCGCCAAGCACTGGCAGATCTAGAGACTCAACGCTACTTGTTTGTTCGAGATCGAGGAAAGACTGCAAAGTGGGGCGGTGCGAAGAAAGCGGCGGACGAGCAACTGGCGAGGATGGATGCGGCGTTGAACTCCGCGAAAACCAGAATCAAAGGCCTTGAGCAAGATTTAAATTTCCATCAGGAGGATCTTGCAAAAATGCAAGACGCAGCAGCTTATGGGCGTAGTAGAGGTCTCGGTAAGGGTCACGGGCGAATTGAGCTCAAGCAGGAGAAGCATCGAAATAAAGCTGCTGTTGCAGCTGTCTAAATTTTTATGACAATAATCACCCTGCATGGTTTGGTGAGTTGGAAGATACAAACCGAACCTGTCGAGGATCAGCGCCACCCCGCTGCTGCTGGAGCTGGCGCTGGGCTCGAGCATCAGCACGCTTCTTCTGTTCTAAAGCCAATGCGTCAGCATATTCGTGCAGTGGCAGGCCGTGTGGGTCAAACACATCGGGAGAGAAGTTAGACTGTAGTTCGTCGATGCCAAAGTACTCAACCACTTTCTCGAGGATGTACGGGTTGCGCACTTCCTTCTTATCCTGCAGCGTTGTCTGAAAATCCTGTCCCCGTTCACGCTGTACCCGCAAGAACCGCTCGATTCGTTGCTGGATCTCGCTGCCATCAGCTAGTGGAGTGGAAGCCGGTGGGATACCAGCACGCACGAGCATCCCCTCTAGATCCTCGCCGTCCATAGAGACATCGGGTCCAGTGACCGCAGCGGACTTGACCGGTTCGCTTGCTACGGCAACTTCTTCGTTTGGCTTGGCGGGAGCATCAGATCTGGTGGTGGGTTCTACTGGTAGCGCTTCGACTTTGGGTAGGATAGGAGCAGCAGTAGCGTCAGGCTGAGTCTGAGGAGGTGGCGCAGGACGTGCACGCTCGTCCTCTTCATCCGACGATGAGCCGTACTCGTACTCGAGCCCAAGCGTGTTCATGCTGATTTGCGTGCACCACATCAAGGTCACGAATGTAGCCATGTACCGAAAGGACACAAGTTACGTCATTGTAACATTTTCGATAACTAGAATATGGCGTCGAACCCGCTAGAGCGGGTACGAGAGCAGCGCGCGATGAAGTTACTGACCGCGTTGCAAGATGATCTCCACGCTCAGATGAGGTTGGAGAAGGACGAGCTGGGGCGGAGTGAAGAAAATAAAAGAGCGAGCCTGCGACGGAAGGCGCGAATCGCTCGACTCTCGGACCCACAGGAGCGCGAGAGGATCTGGAGCCGCGAGCAACTGCCTTCGTACGAGGTGTAATGTGCTGTTGATATCTTGGAATAAGTGTATCCTTGACTAATGCTTTCAGCTCTCTTTTTCACCCAGGGTGTAGCAATTTGCAGTTTACCGAAGACGCGGGATTTCTGGCGAGAAGTTGAAGTGTCCGTGTGGTGCAAGGACCAGTTAGATGCAGCATGTACGCTATTAGATCTACCAATTGATGGCAAAAAGCTGGAGTTGGTTGCTCGTATACAAGATTGGGTGCATGAGCCAGAAATTCTTGCTCGTCTGGAAGAACAACGCTTGCTGGAGCTCCAACAAGATGCCATTCTAGGTCAGCATCAGATTTTATTGTTGTATTTTTCTGCAGCACCACCGCTTTAACATCGTATGCTGCGTTTTAGCTTCTGGTCGTGTGTTTGCATTCGGATCCAACACCAACGGAGAGCTTGGCTTGGGCCACCGTCGTTCCTGCGAGATACCCACCGAGATTGAAAGTTTTCGTGGAGCACACGTCGCGAGCGTATACTCGGTACGAACTTGGATTACTCTGCAGAGTTATGTCTTCGCGGTGGTTGTGTCCTAATGCTATACAATGAAGGGCTTCGACGCAAACTTCGCTTTTGCTCGTACTGAAGATGGACTAGTGTACGCGTGGGGTGGTGCTGGACGTGCCATATTTGATGAGGCCAGCGCAAAGGCAAGTCGATCAAAGATACAGCAGCAAGAAGAAGTGGAACAGAACAAGCATCATGCACGTGGTGGTGATGGTTCATGCTTTTTATTTCCAAGGTTGATCTCGAGTTTGTCGAGCAGGCACTCCAAACATATCGCCTGTGGTCGAACTGGAGGACACGTTGCTATAACAAGCGACAAGGGTGAATGCTTTACGTGGGGCAGGGGGGAATATGGCGAATTGGGGACGAATACCTGTGAATCTGGCGCCAAGGCCGTCACAGAGGAGCCAACTCGCGTGAAGATGCTGAATAAAGTGCTTGTAATTGCTGTCAGCGTAGGCAACACCCACACTGCAGCAATCACCGACAAAGGAAGGCTGTACACTTGGGGTAGCTGTTGGAGCGGCCAACTAGGTTTGGGAGAATCGAAGCGAGCTGGGGTGAAAGATAAGCACTTGCAGCTGTGCTTCCCGACCCCGACAATTGTAGAGGCACTTCAAAGCAAACGGATCACGCGTGTCTCTTGTGGAGCCGTGCATACTGCAGTCGTATCTGCTGATGGCCAGCTCTTTACGTTCGGCTGCGGTGACGGCGGTCGTCTTGGACTTGGCAGTAATGACGGTTCGTTCCATCCTCAACACGTAAGCGCTCTAGAGAATCATGTCGTGTTGGACGTGAGCTGCGGCAGCTGGCACACACTGTGCATCGCACGTGAACGAGAAGAAACATTCCCTGTTAGGGCACCTCGGAGAGTTCTAGTCACTGCAACCAACTGCAATGGCAGCAATGGTGGCTTCGTGTACGCCTTCGGAAGCGGCCTCCAAGGACAGGTTTGCTTCAACACCTTCAGCAGTCTTGCAAAGATTTTAACCATGATTTCACCTTGTTCATGCGCAGCTCGGTTTGGGCAAACAGAAGCACGCGGCACTTCCAAGTAGGTTGTTATGTTGTCTTTGACCTGGAATACAATGGCCCACTCGATTGCGTTGCAGCTTGTCTTCCAGCGCTACGCCATCGCCACATCCGCTGTCACGCCATCACCACATCTTCTCACCACAGCTGCGCCTTAGCCGTTGACGGGAATCTGTACACTTGGGGCCAAAATGCGTCGGGTTGTCTGGGCCGCAAAGGATCCGAGATCGACGCCCCAGAGCTTGCCGAGCCTGCGGTCGTGGACCGCGGCAGCTTCCGGGGTTACGGCGTCGGACCCATCGTCTCCATTGCAGCGGGGCACGGGTTTACGCTTTTCGCGACGGGACCGTGGGAGCCCCGAGAAGAACCTGCAAAGTTGCAATTCCAACTGCAAACTAAAGTTAACCGTCAACGTCAGTAAGTTGAAGCAACTGTAACGTTAGCTATGTTGGCGAAAAGCCACGAGAATCTTCGCATACAAAAGCCAAGTCATTCTGATACACCTGATTGCCCAATCATCCATCTGCGCTCGTACGTAGAATCAGCTCATTCACCATTCCGCCGCCTCTTCGCGAGATCGAGATGCAGTCCGCGCCGCCTTCCTCGCAGGGCAGCATGATCAACACGGGCGTGTACCGCTATGAGCGCAACCGCGGGAGCCACGAGTTCTTCAGTCCGGGTCCGCACGCCACCACGCGCACCGCAACGGCGCCGTCTGCTATCTTCAATCTCGTGAGCACGATCATCGGCGGCGGCATCCTGTCGCTGCCTTTCGCCTTCGACAAATGCGGCCTCGTTGTCGCGTTTATCTTCATGGTCACCGCCGCCTCCGCCTCCACTTTCAGTCTCTACGTCATCGTGAGCTGCAGTCGTCGCGGGAGTGCCGCCTCGTACGAAGAAGTAGTGCGCAAGGCGCTTGGCGCGCGGGCTGGACGCATCACCGTCGTGCTGCTCGTGCTGCTCACTTTCCTCACGCTTGTTGCGTATGTCATCCTCACCAAGGATCTGGTGGGCTCGCTTGGCGCGAGTTTTCTCTACAATCGACCGCTTTCTAATGCGGAGCAGAACATCCTGACAATCGTCTGCGTGCTTCTCGTGTCGCCGGCGCTGCTCGCACGCTCCATGGACGCGTTACGATTCACTTCCGTTTTTAGTCTTGTGTCCGTGCTGGTGCTGGCAATTGCCATCACGGTCCGAGCAGCGGACGCTACGTTCAGCCGTCTTGACATCCAGGAGGAATCAGGGATCTCCATCAAGCTGACTCCCGACAGCTGGGCAGATGCTGCATACGCGTTCCCTATCATCTCTGTGTCGTTCCTCTGCCACTTCAACGTGCTGCCAGTTTATCGCGAGCTGCACAAGCCGACGCGCCACCGTCTTAAAAAGATCGTGGCGTCTACCATGTTCTCGACGTGGCTGTTCTACATTTTGGTCGGTATCATGGGATACCTGTTCGCGTTCCGGCAAGAGGGTGGTGTTCAGGGGGATATTCTGAATAACTTCAGTGACAATGATCCGCTTGTGAACCTCGGACGACTCGGATTACTTGTCACTATTCAACTGAGTTTGCCACTCATCATCCAGCCCTGCCGCGCCAACCTGCTTCGTCTCGCCAAAATCGTCCGTAGCTACATGCGTACGCGTGCCAAAGTGTACGACGCACCCGATTCGACTGATTCAGAGAACGAAGGAGAGACTATGAGCGAGGGCACGGCGCTCTTGCCCTCTAATGGCGGTGTAGTGCCTAGTACCAGCACGGGAGGGAGATACAAGTCTACTGTTGTGCACGTGTTGCTCACCGTCGGCATCATGAGTGGTGTCATTACCATCGCGCTTCTTTCGCCAGGCGTGGCTGTCGTTTGGAACCTCATGGGCTCCACCGTTGGGCTTCTGATCTCGTATGTCTTACCGTGCGTATCCTACGTGTGCATTCGGCGCGAAAAACCCAACACGGACCGTCGCAAACTCATGGCGTGGATTATTCTCGCAATCAGCTCCATCGTCTGTGCCGTATGCACAGTTCAGGCATTCGTGTCCGTCTTCAGCCTGTAGACAATTAAACTAGATAGAAATAGGAAATAATTGAATCAAAATCCTAGCGCTGCATCAATTTTTGGCGGCGATTTCCTGCTTAGCATCTTCTGGCTCCGTCAGTGCCTTCAGCAGCTCCTTCGCATTCGGATCGTGCGGAGCGGCCAGCTCTAGCCACTTGCGCGCCGTTTCCAGGTCCTTGGGCACCTTGCCGTACCCAGTGCGATACATTTGGGCAAGGTTTACCATCGCCATAACGAAACCTTTCTCGGCAGCCTTGCGGAAGAGCACCTCAGCTTGCAATGGGTCCTGCGGCACTCCGTCGCCAGTGAGGAACAGATAGCCAAGGTTGAACTGCGCCATAACAATGCCAGCACTGGCCGCCTCCTTGTAATACTGAACAGCTCGAGCCTGATTGTTTTGCACACCACCAATGCCATGCGAATAGTACTCACCCAACCGGGATTTAGCAGTCGGGTCACCAGCTTCTGCTGCCTTGATGAGCCACTTCAACGCTTCCTGTTCGTTCTACAGAATAATGCCAGTTATATGTATAGTGTTCAAGCGAAAACTTCTTAGCAGAGCTCATGCTTACCTTTTCCGTTCCAGTTCCTGATGTGTACATGTTGGAAACGTTCATGTAAGCTGGTGGGATGCCTGTTTCAGCACACTTCTTGTACAACTCGAAGGCCTTCTTTTCATTCTTGCGTGTGCCTTCACCACTGCTCAAGGCGTCGGCGTATGCAAAAGTTCCCCATCCATGCCCAGTGGCTGCTAACTGGAAAGAAATGTTAGTTGACCTGGTCAACTTGACCATAACGCTGCCTACGCCAACCAGTTTGCCTCACCTCCTTGAAATACTTGGTAGCACCCACCGCATCCTTCTTCGGGAAACCTGAAACCAGCAGCAGTCATTGTGAGGCTCAGTTGTCATATCTCTGCATAGTTGGCACCAACATCCCGCTTACCGATGCCCTTCTTCATGCACAATGCGTAGCTGAACTTGGCCTTCTCACTTCCCTACTCGCATTACGTTAGAATAAATGCATCGACACCCAGTGCTAACTTCGTTTACCTTGTCCATAGCGATCTTCCACACGTGTAGCGCCTTCTGCACCTCCTCATCGTTGTCGTCCGAGTTGTTGTAGATCATGTTGCCCAACCCGTGAAACTGTACGGGGGAGTTTAGCTTGGCCACCAGCGGCGACTCTTTGAACTGAATCACATCATTCAATGTCAGACGCACGACAAAGCACATCATTGCAGCCATTCGCAGCGCACCTCCTCCAGCGTGGCTTGCCTGCCGAGCTTGCGCAGCTTCGTCAAAACTTCCTGCAACTCCTGTTTCCGCAACCAAGACCCACACCTGGCGTCAACGTCTGGACTAGTAGTGTGCAGCATACAAAACGAAAGATACCTCATGACCCTGCTTGGCGGAGACGCTGCGCGAATTGCGCCACGCACTCAGCACCCGCTGCATGCTTGCGGCTCGTTGCAACCTTCACGAGGTGACTGCTTACTGTATAAACAAGTTTTCCTGCAATATCGGTATTACCTCTTAAATATGTACCTGTTGTCTAATAAACCTCTATCTTTGAATCGAGGTTTTTGTATCAATTTGAAGTAGCCGAGGTTTTACTCATTCCGGCTCTGAAGACGTGTTTTGCGCGCCAAGGCGGAAGAAGCAAAGGGCAACCCGACCATCACTCCTCTTTTTACGCACTATGACCGACGATGGAACCCGCGCTGAGGTGGCGGCCAAGCTGCGAGCCGCCCAGCAGCAGCAGAAGAACGGCAGTGGCCGCAAATTACTGCGCTGGGACGCAGCGCGATGGCAGCAGTTTGAGAAGACGCCGCAGTACACGACGCGCGTCAAGAGCGCACCCATTTTGCCCATCCGCGCGCCGCTCTCCTCTATGTACGTGGCAGTCATTCATGGCCTTCAAATACGCCTACTGACATGTTTTTTTTGCAGCTACGAGATCCACTTCTCCGCCAGGAAGAGCTATGCGCCATCAGCGCTGATGGAAAAGCTCATCGCAGACACTCGTTCGGGCTCCGTGGTGAACGTGGGCCTCGTTATTGATGCTACGGGCAGCGATACCTTTCTCCATGATGTTAAGTACGTGGTTTGTGCTGGATTTTAAGGCTTGAGGCCGGATTTCTCACTGTACTGTGCTGTACTAGGGAGTGGGATGACTGGGACGTTCAGTATGTCAAGCTGCGCGTCGACTCACCCGAAGGTTTGCAATTTGAGGCTATAGTTATGGAATCGAGACTTACAGGATGCTACTGCTGCTGTTGCAGACGCTGAGGAGAAGGATCGCGATGCCCATGATGATAAGATGGTAGAAGCATTCTGCCAAGCTGTGGTGAACCACCTCAAGGGAGAACGAAAAGATATGGACGTTGCTGTTTACGGTGCGGATGGCTACAATTTTGTAGGCTTCCTCATTGTCAGGTTCGTGGCGATTGTGTAGTGTTGGAAGTTGTTAGGAGATGGAACTGATTGTTAGTATGGTTATGCCATTGCAGCTTCTTGGTGGAGTATTGCGGACTGAATCTGGACGCTGCGGTGGACGAGTTTGCGCAATCGACCGCGCCTGGAATCTACTCGAGACACTATCTTGAGGTATGTAATATAGTTTTAGTGATGCAATGCACTAGCAACATTAGCTGGTAGGTGGGGTTCTCATTTGCGTTGATGTTTTTGGTTTGTTGTAGAGGTTGTACCGCAAGTACTACAGTACACTACCTTCCGAGTCGACACAACTTGCCGTTCCTGCCCCTCCGCGATGGGAAAACGACGAAACTCGTAAACGCAAGAGCGCATCGTCTGTTGGCAATGAGGTTGTGACGGAACAGGATAGAGCGAACAAGTTTGTGCGGAAGGAGAAGGTTGCGATCCCTGGTGCAGAGCCTGCGAAGGCTCTCCCTGTCGACAACGGAAAAGCAACGACGCCTAGCAGTTTTCCCACTCCTCCTGTGTACAAAGCTCCGATGTACATACCTCCCGACCGCCAGGACCCACGTCCCGCAAAGCGTCGAAAAATCCGTTCGTGGATGGACGAGGTGCAGCCTTTGACGTATGGTGAGACGCTTGCCACCTCGTCGGAGGAGCACGAGAAGCTGACCAAGTCTCTGGAGAAACTTACGGGTATTGAGGGTTTTCCTGGATGTGAGGTAAGTAAATGCTGCTGTAAACGGTTGGCACCTCCTGGTAACCTACGTATGTGGATTGTACTGGATGCATTAGACTATTCCCTTCACAGCGACACACGTTGCGGAAGGAGCATACAAGCGCAAGGGCTGCTTGACCAAGGCGTATCTGGTTACTTGGCGTGCACGAGGGTACGTTTGCTGCGTTGTGGTTAATTCTTGATCGGGTTAACCAACTCTTTCTTGCGCAATTTTAGCCGCCGGTGTCTTCTCTACGTGACTGCCGACGGAACGTACGTTGTGTCTCGTGACATGACCTTTACGAAGGTTGAGATGAAGTTCCCGCGGCGGAGGGCGCCGGTACGTGCTGGTTGCTGAATAACATGCATTTGGTCGACACTGACTTTGAATTGATGTACAACTCAGAATGAGTTCCAGGTGAACACGCTGATTGACGGTCTTATCGTGGAGGATCAAGATCACGACACGAAGGTCGCCCGATACCTGGCTTTCGACATCATCTTCTTGGAGGGCACCCCGATTTGGCAGAAGAAGCTGGAAAAGCGGCTGCAGTGCTTACAGAACGAGATCATTGTGCCGCGTAAAAATGTACGGTCTGATGCTTATGACAGAATGCAGGGAGGAAATCGGTTTGTTAACATCTTTGCAATGTGTGTTTTCGTTCAGGACAAGTCATTCGACTACACGAAGGAGCCCTTCCGCGTGCGCATGAAAGACCACTTCCGTCTGGCCAAGACTGAGTACATGTTGACCAAGTTCGCCAAGAGCGTGACGCATGAGGTGGACGGCGTCATCTACACCCCTACGGAGGCCCCGTACAACCTCGGTGGATTCGAGTGCGAGGAGCCTATTTTCAAGTTCGTTGCAAGCGAAGGCGGTGGCATTCCTGGTCTAGACGGAAGTATTTCGGAGCAGCGGCTTCTCCAGTACATCGATTCCATGCCGAAATGATCAGGTACTGCGAGCAGGTCGGCTTAGCACCATCCTTCCTCGAAGCCACTAGGCAGCAGCAAAAACCAGCGCTCAGCATTCGAAGAAGGCAGCCCCCTTACTCACAAGTGAGTGAATCGTTGGTTAGTCCATGTCATGCATGTAAGTAGTTGTGGAGTTGCCCGGTGTGAGGTGCTTTTTTGGACACAGAAGCGAGGGAGAGAACGGAATGAAAGCGAAGAACAAGTGAAAATGGGCAGACGGCTTGTGTGTGGTGAAGTGCATTCTGTCATCGTGTGCTGGTTGTAAAATGGGGTGTCTACTTACGTTTGACGTCCGCCCGATAGTGTTTCCGCCCGTAGCGTTGCTTCTTGTGCGGAGAACCACTTCTCGAGGACGCTTTCGGTGATGATGAAGCAGACGACGACCGATGCGATCGGGTCGAGCCGTGAGAGGAACCAACACTCTCCACTTCATCATCGGCGAAAGAAGCAGCGTCGTGCGAATAAGAGGCGACTCGAGTTGATCTTATCGAAGATGACGACGGAGACCGCATCTCATGAGTGCTATCCTGTACCTCGAGTGATGTGGACCTGGCAATTCTCCGGTCACGGTCGTCGCTGTTATCCTCGTGACCTGAATGTCGATGACGACGGCCACTGTGACTTCTGGAGCGTTCTTCTTCACCGCCACGATGCGATCTCCTAGAGTAGCTGCTGGAATCCACTGATGCCGCCTTGGCCCTGTGTGTGCGATGCTGTCTCTCTTCTTGCTCGTATCGTTGCAGGTGAGGCGATGTTCGACTGGAAAGTTCATCATTAGGTGAGATGCTTGTAGGTCGCGGTGAGCGTATCAAGACTTTTCTCTTCAGGCTGCCATCAGCTTCGTCGGACCCAATATCATCGAGATCGTGTCTAGCAGACACAAGAGGTACGGAATCTTGCTCGAACCACACATCCTTCTTAAGCTTCTTCGATTTACCATCTTTGGCGTCCGAATTTCCTCGACCCCAGTTACAACACGAGCAAACGTTGCCCATTGCTGCAGTCGTGGTGAGTTTCTGCGCTTGAATCTGATCGTTTCTTCACCAACTCACTTGTGTAGCAGGCTTGTTGTAATGAACAGGCGATGCCCAATGGATACGCGACGATTCGGACACCTTGTCAGTTCCCATTTCACTAACGTAACGTTTGATTTAGAAGCGCTTCTCCTCGCCTGGAGGACAGAGTACAATACACTCGACATCTCGTAGCTCCTTGTAATTGACGACAAGTTGCAGGTTGTTTGGATCGAGTAGCCGAGCAGTTTGGAGGTCGTGCGCTGCAGCCTTGAAATTGCCAAGTGCTTTGTGAGCGAAACCACGACGGAAGTACGCGTGCGCGTTGGTTGGTTGCTTCTTTATGACAAAGGAGAAGTCGGCGAGGGCTTCGGCGTGGTAACGCTCAAGTTGCAAGGCTTTGGCACGCTCGTGGATGTACATGAGCTGCGCTTCGTGAAGTTGCTGAAGCTGACTCTGCTTGTTACTGGCTTCGTGAAGCTCGTCTTCCTGGTTGTTTCCTGCTTTGACGCTCTTTTCCACAAGCAGGCAGTGATCGTAAGCATTCGTGAAATGTTCAACAGCGGACATGTTCTGGCCTTCCAGTGCGTATGAAAGCCCCATGTGATAGTACCTGCCCACAAGCGCGTCAGAGACGATGGATAAAAACAGCGCAAACTATCGGATCGTACAAGTGAGGGAGCAAGTCCTGCGTGGGTTTACATACTAGAGCGCGCTTCAAGAAGACTACACATTCACTGGGCTGGCGTTCGTGATAATAGCACAGCCCCATGTAGTAAAGCAGCCTACACACAAAAACAAACTGGTGAGTTGGAAGGTTCCACAACAAGCAGCTAGTTGTGACTCCAGCGTACTTTGTGTCCGTGGAGTTTCGAGTTGCAGTCTCATGGAGATCCGGCAGAGCTTCAGAGTAACGAGAACATTCCATCAGACACAGCGCCCGATGGAAGCGGAAGATGTCATTTTTCGGGGCTTGTGCCACGCAAACCTGTAACAGAATGGATCAGCACGGCGAGTTTTTCAAGCGTGGAAGCATTTACTACCTACGTTGAGATCCAGGAGAGCTCTATCGTAGTCACTGAGACCTCGATATGCCATGGCGCGAGCATTGTGTGCTGCCATGTCGGCAGTATACCCGCCAGCAATAGCAGCGCTGCAGTCATCAACGGCATCCTGATAGCGTCCAAGTCTTAGCGCGCTTTCTCCTCGCAGATATCGAAGCCCCAGAAGTTGATTCATGTTCGCTTTGCGGTCTTCGTATCCTTCGAGAAGTTCCAGCGCACGTGCGAAGTCCGCAAGTGCTAGAGGATGCACCCGCATTTCTTGCAATATGAGCCCGCGAGCTTCGAGGAAGATCGGTTCATCTGGGAGTACGTCAAGAGCATCGGTTAGCAATTCCACTGCACGCTCATAGTCACCGAGAGCATGACAGCAAAGCGCTGTGTGAAATTGGACCAAGACACTCTTGCGGGTTTCCGAAGAACTCGATGCGATCGCTTCAAGCATGGATCGAGCTTCAGAGTGTTGCTGCTTCAGCTGCATGATCATGGCCATGCCTATTTGATACGGTATACCACTGGGACATAACGTACAGGCCATTTCAATATCAGCAAATGCGGCTTCCAGTTGTTCCGCGGCAGACATGAAGCTCACAGTCGATACCGGAAGGACGACCACATTGGAGGTAGGTTCGCCACTTTCGCTTACACCCTTACAAGCAACATTTGGTGTGCTGATTGCCTTTGGCTCTGTCGTAATTGTGTTACTTGTGGGTGTAGCCGTAGATGCTTGATCCAGATCTAACGCCAGTGCAAGTCTCACAGAGCCTCGGTAAAAATACGCTTGCGGATCGCGACCATCAAGCTGAATGCACCTGTTGAAGTCTGCCAAACACTGCCGCGCGAAAATCCCCATGCCACTGGTAAGGTTTGATGGAGCATTCTGCTGTTGTCGTTGTTTTGCGGCAGCTTCTTGGCCTTGACGGTAATAGCACAGTCCGCGATAGCTGAAGTAGCTGGCATTGCCCGAGTTAAGCTCAATGGCTTGCGTAAACTCGTCGGCGGCGCGTTCGAAGTCACCACATTCAAAATGGGCGAGTGCTAGAGCACTGAAAGCAGACGCATTGCGAGGATCCAGTTTGATAGCAGCCTGCAAGTCTTCAATACATTTCGACAAGAGGCCAAGTCGCCGGTAGCAGTTGGCACGACTCTGTAAGGCGCGATACTCAATCCGAAGGCCGATTCCACCGCCAGGGGCTCCTATGCTATTAGGAGCAGCATTTGCCGCCGTAGATCCATCTTCCAACGCTTTCGAGAAATCAATGATAGCCTCGCGATAGAATCCGGCATCATGGAGTACAAGAGCACGGTTGAAGTAGTGGGGAGCCTTTCGTCCGTCCAGTTCGATCGCGCTGGTGAGGTCTTCGAGAGCTTTGGCCGTATGGTTGAGCTTACGATAGCAAGCTCCTCGGTTGGCGTAGTAGAGCGCACTACGGTCGTCAAGTTGGATAGCAGACCCGTAGTCCTTCGCAGCACGTTCAAGTTCTCCAATAGCACGAAACGCATTACCACGCGCGAGGAAGAAGCGAGCTTGAGTTGGACGGATGGCAATGGCCAAGCTGAAGCTTTCAATCGCGCGGCAGTGATCTTCAAAGGTCGTCGCTCCATGTGCGATCTCCATGCCTTTCTGGTATAAATCCACGGCATGTTGTAAGTCTTGTTGACCTTTTGCTTCCGGCTCGACGGCAGCAGGCCCTGCAGCTAGCTCCCCATTGTGAGACTTCGTCGGTGATGCTTGTTGATTGCTTCTCATGGTTGTTGGTGATCTGTTCGATGTCGTATGGTACCTTCAACCAGTTTAGTACTGTCAAGACGTGAAACTCCACCTGAATCTTGAAATAGCGCTGAAATATGCTGCAAATATGTGCCGTGGCTGACAACGCTCTGTTCTTTTGCACCAGCTTGTCCGACATGGCTACAGCATTGCCACTGGAAGGTGATGGTTTGGTGGAGAATCTTTTTCATTATCTATGGACAACGGATGATCTTGGAGGCGGTCCCCGAGTTAGTGTACCTCCTACGGTGATTTATCATGGCTCGCAGCCTGTCGCCTGGTACTTTACGAGTCGCAAGAGCGGACGCATCAAGCGCAAACACCGAGCAAACCTCACCGCGGCACATATCGAACATTCATTTACCAAACGGAAGGCAGCAACGGACATTGTGGCGTATTATTTGTACTTACCAAAAGCAGAGAATACTAGTCCTGCAATCGAGTATTTCGATGCAGATGCACTTCGAGAATTCTTATACAAGCGACCGGAGATCCCGCATTCGTCTTCACCTGGATCACAGCCAGCAGCAGGCATTCTTCAGCACTTTACGCTTCCAAAAGGAGCACGAAATTCTACACTCCGTGCTATTTGGTCTCCCAAGTTGTGCTTGCTAGAGCGTCGAGTAAATGTGCATGCAGTCCACGACGCACGATTTACTGTTTATGAACGAGGAGTGACTTTCGAAGAGGGAGGCGGCGCTGAAGCTCTCAGTCGACCTGAGCCAGTACGAGGCTCTATGCTACCTGGTATGGTACAGCAGCTCTGTGAGCGCGTTGTAGACCACGTCACGCGTGTGTCCTACCACAAATTCAGAATTGCGCGAATGGTGTTACGTCTTCAAGTAGATTCGGACGATCGGTTATGGCTACTGTGGAGCTCGTCACTGCGTTTACAACCTCCGTTGGCTGCGATCACATCCGACATGCCAATTAATGAACCAAGTATCCGCCCGCTCGACATTGTCAGCGACGCAAAAGTTCCCTTGTTTGCCTTTGCACAAGGTTCCGGTGGTGGACAAGTCTCGCTAAGTTCCACGATGAATCCCGAACTTGATGAAGAGCCTCGTCCAGGACAGACGCGTTGTGCAAGTTGCGCACAAGTAGTAGCTCTGCGTGCACTCTTGCCTACGACTTACAAAGCTGTGCTGGCTCATTTTCAGCATGTCCTGAAATTTCTCCGCGAACGAGTGAATGAAGAAAAGCAAGTAGCGATCGAGTGGCCCCCTGACGAGCGAGTCGTACAACAAGCTGGTGGCGTAGGATTTGGCATCCTTCGGTATTTGAAGACGGTGAACGCTAGTGATGACACAAACTTGCCTAGTGCTAGTTCTGGAATGAAAGCTTGGCAAGGACGTGAACAACTCGTACCCCCTGTGATCCGGTACATGCATCCAACATTACGTCCTGAGGACTTCGCTCGTCACCGTCAAGACCCAATATTTTTGCATAAAACGGTTGGAGTCTGTGAACGCTGCTGCCTCGTGTACGCAGACTACGCCACCGCTTCACTAGAAGCTAACGGTCTCGGTATCCGAACTAGTGCTAGTGCTCCAGCTCTTTTACGTCCCGTTCGCGAAAGGCCCAAGCATGCCGAGTATTTCGATGATGATCCACCACACTCACTCTTGTTGACTACCACAAGTCCAGGAAGCCCATTAACTCGAGGAACTCGCACTACGACTAAATCAAAGCCACCCCCGTCGGCATGGAAGCCCGTTTCAAGTGATGAGAGTCAGAAAAGTCGAGCTGCGAAGTTCAAGACAGGCCCACGCAGCACACTACATTCCTTGCCAATGGCACCAAAGTTACCGCCACGCATTGAATCGTTTGAGTCAGAAGACAATGATGCTCTTCGTATTCCGGACGGAGTTCTTAGCGACAGTAGTCCACAACAACAGCAAGAGAGAGAAGAAGCATTTTTTCGAGAATTGTATCAGCAGAATAACGCTGGAAAACGCGGAGGCTACGCTCTCCGGCATATGATGGAGGCAGCAGATCGTCTCTCCAAGGCAAAACCACAACATCGTCTAGCGGCGATAGGGAACAGCACTCAAATCGGTAAAAGCCAATCGACTGGTGCTCTGGCTGATGCAATTACCGAACTCAAGCTCGCAAAGAAGCCTGGAAAGAGCCCTTATAGCGTAGTACAGCGAATTCGTGATGGCGACGGACGGAGTAGCTTATCAAAGAACCAGGTGACAGGGAATGGATCACCAGCGAGATCTCCAATTATACAAGAGTCTCGGCACTCAAAGAAGAAGAAATCGAAGAAAAACCAAGCAAAAGATGACGGCAACCAGGAGAAGACGCGATTTATAAGCTCGCGGGAAAAGCGAGCTGCGGCAGAACATCGCGGCTACCTTGTTGCCGCACTTTCGGATGCCCAACTTCAGGTGAGTACAATGAGGTGGTTCAGATTGATATGAAGATTGTCATGCTAATTAACTGTGTTGTTGATAGTTGGAGCACATTGAGTCGTTGGCGACGCTGATTCCGGCACCCGCCGTTGAAGCGGATCCGTTGGAGTTTGAACCGGAGGAGACGCAAAGGCACCGAAAGACGAAAGGTGACAACGATGAGCAACCATCAAGTCCTCAGGTGCAAAATGAGGAGAATCTGGAACTCGAAGACTCCGAACAGCGAGAAGTTGCACGGGAAGTTCACGAGCAAGAACATAACGAAATGCAACGTGATGAGGGTGAAAGAAGAAGCGAAAACGGCAGCAATCCTACCGAAGATGATAAGGAAGAAGCTGGAGTTGAGGAAATCGATAATCACATTGTTGAAGATGAAACCACGACAAACACAACGGCTCATCAACAGATTCTACAAGATGCAGAGATACCAAATGGACAAGAAAATCGAGAGGAGGTGGAGAATCTGGAACTGAACACTGATACCACAGTTCAGTTGCAAGTTGAAAAGCAACTCGAAAATGAAGAGCCTAATCTAGAGCACGAGCAAATTGAAGCTCAGATTCAAGGTCAAGAGCTGGAGGATGAAAGACTGGGATTGGAGGAGGCAGTCTTGGGGCAAGATGAAGGCCAGATACCACAAGAAGAACCCGAATTTAAACATGACCAAGAGTTAGAGCCCGACCAAGCCCAGGAAGAGATTCCCCCTCAACAAGATGGATCTTCTAAGTTGGCGGCAGAAAACATGGAAAAAGATGAAGACGACTACGATGATGAATATGAAGACCCTGACCAAGATCAAGAAGATCGTGACCTAAAAGTGGAAGATCCACAACAGCAAACCGACAAAGAGGATGTCGTCGAAGCACCAGAAGCTGAACCTTCACAGAATCTACTGGAACAAGCTCAAGAGCTCTTGGCTAAGGAGGCATCACCTGAGAGTGACGAGCATCAAATTGCACACGACAACGACGCATTCAGCGATACCAACGATCAATCCCCATTCACCCCGCTACCTCCAGCTTTCACAGCATTTGAGGCAGATTTAAGTGAAGACGCTGTCATTGCAGCCGACTTTGTCGTTGCTGCCGCTCTTCCTCTACCATCGTCAGATGATTCGACCAGTGCAGTAAATGATGAATAACCCTCGTGTCTAAAGAAATACGTCTTGATTTTGCTCTACCTTTCTGCTCTGTCTACCTCAGTTCACGCTGTGCATCTTACTAAATCGCGCACGAGCCTCTACGTATTCAGAGTAAGCATCGCGCTTCCGGTGGTGACTTGTGTCTTTGTCACGGTTCATGTTGCTCATCTCGTTGTCATACACAAACGCGCGTTGCTGAATGGTACTGATCGGCTCAGTGCTACCAGGAACACCACGCAATATGCCGTCCATGTGGCTTCGCTTAGCGATCGGTACGCGTGATGGTGGGGTCGTTAATGCCGCTCTGGATGAGATATCGCCCGGTATATTTGCACTACTGCTTCTGCTGCCATCTTCGTTGAGTAGTAAACTTGGGCGAAGTGGCTGCATCGGGTTCTTTGCTGCAGCAGCTACAACGGAGAAGTCATTTTTGGCATCCCGAGGTTCCGTCAATACGAACTTCTTTGGGAGCGTCTTAGCGAATTCACTTTCACGCTTCGCTTTTGACTCGGCGTCTTTCTGTGTTGTACGCCTGCAAAAACAGTCATTAATCAACGATAAGTTACCCGGCTCCGCTGGTCATTGCAAATTCGTGAATACCATACCATGTAGGCTTCTGTCCAAAAGTGATCGGGTTGCTCACGGTGATAGTGTCGGCCAGCGAGGCCAATTCACGATCGAGAGTGTCGCCGTCCATAGCTGACATGTAGTATTAGTTCACTTGCAGCTGGAAGTCTGGCGTGCTGAGATCAACGATAAGTCTCAACTTCCCCAGATTATTTTCGCTCACTTGCTCAGCATCCAAACTCGACGCTCGACCTGCATATTTATAGGGGTTTACGGGTCGGGTATCGAGCAAGCTGCAACCGAATGAAATAACAATCAACGCACTCAAATCACATGCACACATGGATTCGCTTTACCTGCAATGCTCGCTCACCTTACAGGGCCAGCAATCAGCTGTCTACTTCTCACGTGCGATGCCACCATCTTTGGTTATCGCACGATTGCTCCTGCTTTTCTCCTAGTGTTGATACTCTTGAGGCTTTAGACCAGAGGCTCCAAATCCATCTCCAGAACGGAAGTGGGGTTGAGCAGATCGAAGTTCTTCAGCACCTCCGGGTGTAGCACGCCGAACGTACCGAGACGTAGAGGCTTGGCATCCTCCTTCTGCAGGGTCACGTACGCACAACGGCCAGGGAAGTATGTGCGCTCCTCCGCGGGCGTGATGGTGTAGTACTCCTTCGTGCCCGCAGCCATCTCCAGTGCAGACGGGATGCCCATCAGCTGCATGATGCGGTCAACAAGACCGTGAATGACCTCGAAACCATCGGTCGGGCCGGTGTACGCGGCACAAATACGACGCACATTCTTAGCTCCAACGTCCGTGTTGTCGTCGATCACAACGACGTCCGAGATCTCGAACAACTTCAGACCTTCCTTGATGGACATGGCCTTGTTGTTCTGGATAGTCTTCAGCACACCAGGCAGCATCGACGTACGCACAACCTCGAACTCCACAGTAGCCGGGTTGGACAGCACAACAGCAGAGTGACCATCGTCCTCACGGTTCAGGTACTCGAAGTTCTCCTTGTGCGAGCACAAACCGTGAGTCAGCAGCTCGATGTAGCCTGCACGGCTGATCTCGTCGCGAAGAAGGTCGCCCAGCTTGTTCAGTGGCTGCGCCATACCAATAGTCTGCGTCTGAGGGATCGTGAGTGGGATGTTGTTGAAGCCGTAAGCGATACCGACGTCCTCGATCACATCCACGGGGTGCAGAATGTCCGAGCGAGTAATAGGGACCTCAGCAATAATGGTCTTTCCGTTGCCTGAGGGCTTGGCGTCCAGCTGCATCTTGTCGCACAGCTTGCAGATCCGTTCCACATCCAGGTTAATAGGCTCGCTCTTGCCGAACAACATCGAGTAGATGTTCTTGATCTGCACCTCAACCGAGCGCTTGCTGAGGTTGGGCGTCAGCTCATTCTCGTTCACAGTCTGGTCCTCGTAATTGATCTGCACTGGTTCCACCGTGAACGGCTTGGCGCAGTACTCGGAGAACATGGCGATCATCGTGTTAAGTACGACCTTTGCCTTGGTGATGTCCGTGGCTGTGCACTCAATGAAGACATTCTTCGTGGCGAGCGAGATCTTGGAGTGCTCGCCGTTGATAATGGGCGGCAGCGACAAGACCACGCCGTTCTTGTCCGTGATCACAGGGTACACGGGCGAGTCGTAGATAATATCCGTGTACGGCTTGATGTGCTTGACCTCCGGGTTAGTACGGTAGAAATCCAGCAGCTCCTTGGCTTCAAATTCCTTGCTCTGAGTCAGCGGGATGAATTTGATCTCGTTCGGGGGCAGCGCCTACACAATATAATTATAAGTATCTTTAAATTGTCAACATATACTCCAGTTTACGTACATTGTAGGTGAAAGGTCCCTCAACAGTGTCCAGGTCGTGCGTGCCGATAGCCACGAGTGTACGGCGACGACAGATGTTCTGGTGGAGCTTGTCCTGCAGGTCAATGAAGCTGTCATAGCGCTCCTGGGTGAACTTGACGTCACGCAGGATGGCCGACACCACATACGGGCGCACCAGCTGCAATAGCAATAACAATTAATAACGGATCAATAATAAATAATATTCCCGCGATGGATTGCAACCTACCTTCGTGTTGGGCTTGACCGTAATGCTGTGCGGGCCCTCGGCACGCGGCGTCAACGTGTACACGGGCGGGCGCTCCTTCTCCAGGAAGATACGCAGTGCACGTGCGATACCCTCGACACAGAGCAGATCGTAGCGGTTGGCGGGAACGTCGATCTTGTAGAGCACGGCGTCCGAGTGCTCCGAGTGGTCCTTGCCTTGGCCCTTGGTCTCACGCTGTTTAAGCTGCTTCTCGCTCGTCACGTCATCCAGTTCGATGCCGAACTCGAAGCACAGAACATCGAACTCCTCGTCCGTGTACGTCTGGCCCAAGGCCGCGAACAGCTCATCGCGCTTCACCCCCACGGTCGGCATTTTAGCTCTTTGATTTGATAGACACTCGGCTACTCCCCGAATGAAACAGGCACCAGTAGATAATTCTCATTGACACACCATGTATACGTAATTAACACCCTAAAATGACATAATTCTAAGGTCTCTTTAATTTAAAACTATACGTTCTCTCAAATTTTAATGTATACATTTGCTCATGTACGATACATAAATGAAATCATGAAAAGACACCAACTCAATTAGCATTATGGACGATGGAGGGCCGCAAGCGGAGCGCTCGCGGCGTTTGGAGACACAGGGGCGACTGCAGGCCCAACCTAAGATAATACCCAGTCGGAAGCCTGTCACAACTACTTCACCCCCGTCCGCGTGCGTCTCTGGCTGCTGCGTGGAGAGCGCACGACTTGCAGACGAGAGAGACTTCCTTCGAGGCTACGCAGAGCGGCTCTTAATTCAGCTACGCATCCTTCTACAGCGATATGGAGAGTTAGAGAAACTCAAGACACTGGCAGATACAACACAGAGTGATGAGGAGCCACACGAGCGCCTGGCGCCCTGGCTCACTGCCTCCGAGTACACGAACCCTTTGCTACAGGCCTACGACCTCAAGATCCAAGAGCTGGTTGGGCGATGTGGCCTAGAGAGATGGGTTATCAATGCAACGATTAACTTGTGATGGTCCTTGCTCCTATAGGAGAGTGCTTTGCTGGACAACAAGAAGGCGATGGACCGAGTAGCGACGCGAGCCGAGGGATTGGCCAAGGAGAACACGACGCTAAGACAGTAAGGAGGCAGCAGTTAGAGTGTAGAGATCTTGACTAATTAACCGACGTGGCTGCAGAGAACTGGAGGTTGCAGGAGAGAAGATGATACTGCGGATGCAGAACGAGCCCAAGGACATGCACGAAGATTTAATGAACATACAAGAGAACGGAGAGTACTTACAGGAGATCAACGAGCGTATTGACGTGTTGATGGCGGAAAACAATATGCTAATGGAGCAAGTGTCTCTTCAAGACGATGAGATTGGCGCCATGAAGAAAGAACTGACGGACAGGGATCAACAACTGCAGATTATGGGACAGAATTTTAACGAAGCCACGCTCGCGCTACAGGAGCTGCGTGATGCTTGTTCACAGGTACGAGAGGAGAAGACACACTGTGAACGACAGCTACAGCGATATGCAGCGTCGATCGCGCAGTTAGAGAGCGCAAAGGAGTCGTTAGTGGAGCAAACGGAGGCAGTTCGTAAAGAGCGCGGCGAGTTAGAAAGCCAACTTGGTGAATATGAAGAAATGATGGAGAAGATGAAAAAGACCAATGAGCGCAAGGACGAAGCCTTCTCCACGCGATATCAAAACGTTTGTGTGCGTCTGCGCGAGCTTACAAATGCGCTGGAGAAGAAAGAAAAAGCTGTCAATGACTTACAAGCGCAAAACAATGGACTGCAATCTGAGTTAGACGCTGTACGACAAGACTGCGAAGGCATGTTAAACGTTCTCAACAGCATGGAAAAGCAGTTAACTCAGTATTGTGCGCGGGAGGACGCAGTCACTGAGGTAAGAGAAATCTTAAATTTTATCTTAATTAAGCCACTTACGTTCAATGTGTGCGTTGTTAGCTGGAATCAGAATGCAAACTGAAGATCGAAGAAGCCGTTCTGGAGAAAGAAGAGGTTTGTTTATTAGGAGACAGAAACAGTAGTTTCGGAAGAGGTTCTAAAAGGCGAGGCTGTCCTTGCTGTGTTGAATAGGTGGCTGCTCGAGAGCTGCAAAGCCGACGAGAGATTGCACGCCTGCTGGAGCGACTTCGGCAACAAGCTGCAGATCACGTGAAATCGCAAGAGGAAAGTTTGAGCGCAATAGGCCGCAGGCATGAGGCAGAAATGAGCAGTCGTGAACTAGAGATTAAGTCTCTAAGTGCTGAGCTGGTTGATTTACGCTCCAAAATGGAAGTGACGACAAGAAGCCAAAAAGAGGCCGACAAGAAGCTTGCAGACTCAATTCGTCGTTCCAAGGACGCAAGTATCGCCTTTGAGGTAATTGGCGCTATAGGAAGTCGAAGAACATGGTAAACAGCATTTCTGACTACCGTTGGGCTCGTGATGCTTCAGAAAAAACTCCAGCACCTTACCGAACGTACTGCAACAGCCGAAGAAGCTCGTGATATGGTACGGTATTATACCTGTCGATGAAAACGCTCATGGTATTAACGAACTTTGCTCGCTTGGGATTGCAGTCAAGTCACCTGGAAGCAGAATATCTCGAGAGAATTCGGGCAAAAGAAGACGCACTAACAAAGCTGAGAGCTGAATTCCGTGATCGCGGACAAGAATTGAGCGTGCGTTTCATTCATTGGAAACCGCAACTGCTTACCAAGGTACTAATGACTGTGAATATTACGTTTGTCTACTGTACACAGGAGCGAGTGAGCTTGCTGGAGCGAGAGTTAGAAATGCGTCGTACCGAGGCGCGCGATGCTAAAGATGAAAGCGAAGAGCAACACCGCAAGGTTCAGCTACTGAATGATCAGCTGAACAAGGTCAAGGCGGACTGTGCCAACAGATTTACGAATGAATTCGAGGTATTGCACCAGCAGAATCGAGATCTGAAAGCTCAAGCTGCTGAGTTGGAGTACAAGTTATCCCTGGCTAAGAAAGAAGCGGCATCAGTGCTGGACAGTTCTCGTAGCGAACGAGAGCGCAGCGAAGTGCGTTTGATTGCTGAAGTTGAGAGCTTGAAAGCAAGGACGCAAACCCTCAAGGAGGAGAGGAAGCGTGTTGACAAGAGCCGGCAGGAAACAGACGCTAGATGCTCGGTTCTATCACTACAGGTTCAGCAATTAACCAGAGACCTGAACGACGCCAAGGAGTTACTATTGGAACAGGAGCACTCGTGTGATGATAGCGACCGTAAGGTATCGGAACTAAGTGCTCAACTCACAGCAGCGCTCTCAAAGCAACAGCAATTCTATCGACAAGAGCGTGAACTCCGCACAGCACTGGAGAGAATGACACTCGAGAGATCGCGAATGGAGCGTGAGGCCACGGTACGTGCTTGTCCAGCTTGTGATTTGTGTAGCAGTATTAAGCCTTTGATTTTTTTTTAGTTGGCTCGGAAGAAGATCGAAGAGTATCGCAACAGTAGCTACACGTATCTTCCACTATCGCACTCGCGGATGCAAGCTGAAAGGGAGACCCCAGGTAGCACGTCACGTGATGAAATAGCAGATAAGTTCGGCACAGCCGAGAAAGCTGATCTTCGCTACCAAATGCCAACTTAGCATAGACTAACGCAGGTTGCTGGAACGCTTTAGAGGGATGCACCCAACAGCCTACTTAGCAAACAAGAGACTGGCGTTTGTTCCTCCGAAACCAAATGAGTTCGTAAGAACTGCACGCAGCTCTTTCTCCTGCGGCTGGTTCGGTACGTAATTCAACGTAAACTCCTCTGTGGTCTCCGTTAGGTTGAGTGTTGGAGGCATCACGTTCTGCACATAATTCAACAAATAAACATCAGAGGAACAATTGACAGAAGAATGTGGATAGCACCAGAACGTACGTGATGAAGAGCCTTGATCGAAAAGATAGCCTCCACCGCACCAGCAGCACCGAGTAAGTGACCGATAGCTCCCTAATTAACAACACCCACGTCAGTAAATCCAATCCACATTCACACATAGCAAACACTTGCAGGAATTACCTTCGTAGATGACATTGCTAATTGATTAGCATGTTCGCCAAAAAGTTCCTTCACGGCAGCATTTTCAGCACGATCACCCAGTGGCGTTGACGTCGCGTGTGCATTGATGTAGCCGATATCAGACAATGCAATACCAGACTGTGCGATGGCTGACTGCATGGCTCGTCGAGCACCATCACCAGTTTCAAGAGGAGCTGTGATGTGGTTGCTGTCGCCACTGAGACCATAGCCCCGCACCTCAGCATAGATCCTGGCCCCACGCTTCTTAGCATGCTCGTATTCCTTTAATGGAGAACAGAACAACGTCGAGTAGTCAGGACCTGCAGCTCGTTTCAGAAAGATTGCAAAGTTTGTACCTCGAGAACAACAACACCAGCGCCTTCACCCATGACAAATCCGTCGCGCTGTGAGTCGAACGGCCTTGATGCTTCCTGTGGGCGATCGTTAAACTGTTCGTGTGTACAATACAGTGTCAGTATAGCAGATTCGTTCCTTGATGTAGATATCAACCTGTTCACCTTCGTTGATAGCGCCTGTGCACGTAAGAACGCGCACATCGAAATCTCATTTAGAGAGGCTTCAGTGCCACCGGCTACCATCACGTCGGCATTTCCGTGTCGAATGAGATTCGCAGCATCACCAATACTGTGGCTACCGGTAGCGCATGCCGTAACACAGGAATGGTTCGGACCCTACACAAGCGTAAAAGAGAGTCCCCCAATACAACGATTAGATGTCTATCAACGGATCATTCCAACCTCGTTCAAAGCCGAACCTTCAGTCCGTGTTCAATGCTCACGTGACCCGCAGCTAAGTTAATGAGAATTCGCGTGATGAAGAAGGGTGATACACGGCGATATTTCTGCAAGATGTACAGTTATTCAAACACTATCAGAAAAGGAATACACGGGTGCCAACTGATCATCACCAGTACCTTGTCCTGAATAAGCTGCCCAACATCCATAACTTCCTGGATATTTCCCATACCAGCACCGATAGCCACACCCTACCAACACACATCCAATTATCACCTATAACTTCATCAATAGAACGCGATTCACTACCCACCGCTCGTTCTCTCTCCTCGTCCGACTCAGGGCTCCATCCAGAGTCCTTCAAAGCTTCATCAGCTGTTCAAGAACCACAAAATAGTCAACACCAACTCGCCATTATACGAACAAATAAACTCTAAGCTGTCCCAACCTGCTGCCAAGGTGAACGCAATAAAGTCTGGCTCTTGAGCGCGGAGGTTTTTGAGATTCACCCACTCTTTCGTGCGGAACGCTCCATCTCCTTCGCCTCGTGGCACGGCTGCACCAATGGTGCAACTGAGTCCCGTGTCTGCAAGGACGTCCACCGTCTGCAATTTACAAATTACTTGCTAATGAACAACGCAACGCAAATATACGAATGTGTCCTACTTGGATGGCGCATTTCGCGTCCAGCAGCGCGTCCCACGAGCGTGAGACGCCCACTCCAAACGGAGTGACAGCACCGAGACCAGTGACTACCACACGCCGGTTGGGTGTAGGTGGCGGTGCCCCGAACGAGAGCGTCGAGAAGCCACGGGCCACAGACGAAGACGTCGCTCTTCGCAGCAACATTATGCGCCTATGAGTTTGTGGTGTGTGGTACACAAAGTTGAAGGCATTGTATCTAACACGTTACGTTGAAGTTGTAAACAAGTTTCGTATTGAATGGTTTGATCGGGTGGTGATTACTTGGCAAACAGGAGACTAGCGTTGGTCCCTCCGAATCCAAATGAGTTGGACATGACAGCGTGGAGTTCCTTCTCTTGTGGTTGGTTCGGTACGTAGTTGAGCGTGAACTCCTTGGTCGTCTCTGTCAGGTTGAGCGTAGGAGGCATCACATTCTGCTCGGACATTATTTCAACGTGTTAGTCAACTAAACTGCTCAATGTGCGAACGAATTGTTGTGACTTACGTTGTACAGAGCCTTAATCGCGAAGATGGCCTCCACAGCGCCAGCCGAACCTTGTAGATGGCCGATGGACCCCTGGATAGCAACAACAAGAACAGTTTTTTTTTACTGCATGTACCAACACGTGGCAAATGCAGCAAAGTACCTTCGTGGATGATACTGCAAGCTTGTCAGCGTGCTCTCCGAACAGGGTTTTGATGGCCGCGTTTTCAGCGCGGTCACCCAGAGGAGTACCCGCAGCGTATGCGTTAACATAGCCAATATCGGACAGCGCAAGTCCGGACTGTGCAACCGCTGACTGCATAGCTCTACGAGCTCCATCTCCATTCTGTAGAGGAGCTGTGATGTGGCTACCATCTCCACTAAGACCATAGCCCCGCAGCTCTGCGTAGATACGGGCACCACGCTTCTTAGCGTGCTCATATTCCTACACAGAAATGTTGTTCGATGTTAGTGAGCATCTTGCTTTGGTTGCTACGCAGATTGTACTATACCTCGAGAACGACAATTCCAGCGCCTTCGCCCATGACAAAGCCATCGCGCTTCGAGTCAAACGGCCGCGATGCTTCTTTCGGGCGATCATTGTACTGGTCATGAATAAAAAAAAACCACTTGTTAGCCAAATTGTCAGGCACAGCAACACGAATTAAACAAATCTAAACCAGCAAACCTTCGTAGACAGAGCTCGCGGTCGATCGAAAGCGCAGATCGACATCTCGTTAATGGTAGGTTCTGTGCCACCAGCAACCATAACGTCTGCATCTCCGTGTTGAATGAAGCGAGCGGCATCTCCGATGCTGTGGCTACCAGTAGCACACGCCGTTACGCAAGAATGGACCGGACCCTGTGTACGTGAAGGCCATGGAATTATCAGAACTCATCGTGGAAAGATTGTGTATACTACGCAAGTTGTCGTGGCAAGTACCTTCAGGCCGTGCTCAATACTCACGTGACCTGCTGCCAGGTTAATGAGAATGCGAGGCACGAAAAATGGTGTAACGCGGCGAAATTTCTGCAAGTAAAGAGAAACAACGCATCGGAATCCACACAGTAGCCCACAGCAAGAGCATCCACGGCCACACCTTCTCTCTGATGAGTTCGCCAACGTTCATGACCTCCTGAATGTTGCCGCAAGCAGCACCGATAGCCACACCCTGGCAAAACACACACACACACACACACACACACACACACACACACACAACCCACACTCAGCTACAGCTACAGCTTCACCCTCCAACAGCTTCAGATCCTACCGCTCGTTCACGCTCTTCGTCCGATTGGGGATCCCACCCCGAGTCCTTCAAAGCTTCACTAGCTGAATCAGCATCAACTAATGAGCTTCAACTCAAGTATTAGAGTATCTTGAAAACGACAGCACCCACCTGCAGCGAGTGCCATAGCGACATGGTCTACTTCCTGAGCGCGGAAGCTCTTTGGATTAACCCAGTCCTTTGTGTGGAATGCTCCATCTCCATCATCTCTGGGCACCGTCGCCCCCACCGTGCAATTGAGTCCCGAGCCCACGAGCATGTCCAAAGACTGCATACCAGACCAACACAGCGTCAGTCTCAATAGACCAATACATATAAGAGTGAACTATGTACCTGGATGGCACATTGCGAGTCTAAAACGCGCTCCCACGCGCGTTCTACGCCTACTCCGAACGGAGTCACAGTACCCAAGCCAGTGACCACTACACGACGAGGTGGCACCGGAGGTGGAGGAGCGAACGAAAGCGTCGAGAGGCTGCGAGCCAAAGCAGATCCACGTCGTGCAACAAGCATCGTGATGTCAAAGGGGCCAGGAACGCGGCGGGATCGAATCTGACGGACCGCGGACCTCGTGGAGGTCGACACCTCATCGTAGTTGGCGTTGTCATCGATTACTGAGGCTGAGGCGGGACTACAGAGTTGAAGTCATTGTCGAATGACGTCTCATTGGTCAAAACATGATTTATATTTTGATTCGCTGAAAAGATAGCGTATTTCCTCATTGGTCAATTAATCAAGATCCGCATCAGATAACCGTCATGGAGAATCATGGAGCGCGCTGGGCTGCGGCGTTCGGGCTGCAGGGCGACGCTCTCGTGGCACAACGTGAGCGCTACGAGCGCCTAAAGCAGCACATGGTATTCCAGATTGACGCAGCCGGCATTACTGACCCGCTGACTGTCTTGGCGACCGCCAATGGCTCGACTTCTAACAGTTCTTCAAGTTGGAGCCAGTATTTCACGGACGAGACCCTGCTGGAAGAGATCAACACGGACCTGGAGCGACTGTATCCTGCAGGCAACGAAAGTTTCTTCCAGAACGAGTTGTACTTAAGCACGCTGCGCCACGTGTTGTTCGTCTGGTGCCGTCTACATCCAGACGTAGCCTACCGCCAAGGTATGCACGACGTTGCAGCCGTAGTACTCTACGCCTTCTTGTACACTACCAAGGATGGTAACACAGAGGGAGACTCAGCCAAAAAGCTACCGGAACATGCAGAAGCAGACACTTTCTTGGTGTTTGAGGCCGTCATGCTGTTCCTTAAGCCGTTCTACGAGATTGTCAAGACGAGACACGGCACTTCATGTGAGAATGAAGACAGTAATCGACTGTTTGCCAGTTTCTCACTAAAGGGGAATGAGAACGACAATGGAGTAAATACTAAGGGAGCACAAAAGAAGCAGCCAGCGTTGCACCAATTGTGTCATCATATCCAGTATGAACTGCTGCAGCAGAAGGACCCGCAACTGTACTACCATTTGCAGAACTTGGAGATTGTTCCAGAGACGTATTGTTTGAGGTGGATCCGACTGCTGTTCGCGCGTGAGTATGCGTTGAAAGAATTACTGTGGATCTGGGATGCGATGATTCTGGATAATACTCGAGCGGATGTTATTTTCCCGGTGATCAATATGACCGACAAGTCCGATAATGATTTATTGCAGCTACCCAAGCTGATCAGTAAAAACGAAGATGCGAGCTGGATTGGCTTCCCGCTCCTCCGGTATATCTGCGTAGCGAGACTGCTGCAATTGTCCTCTCAGTTACGCCAGTCGGACAATACTGGCTGTCTGCGTCTCCTTATGCGAGCGTATCAGGAGGAAGAACTCGACGGAGAACAGAATCGTGCTATTGAACTTATCAAGTTTGCCAGGATTTTACGAGATCCAATGACCGAGGAAACGCAGCAGTGCGAAGATGGCGAAAAGGATTGTGATGGAGAGTCTAGGTCCGTGGAAGTTGTCCAGTTTCAGGAAGGTTCTCTTGGCATCATCTTGACAGCAGCAGGGGCTCAATATGAAGATCGTCTAGCAGTGAAGTCGTTTACTCGAGATCCGACCGCAATCGGTGGGGTAGGCCAAGCCAAAGCTAGTGGAAAAGTGCGTCTTGGTGACCTCCTGCAGTCGATCAATGGCGTTCCAATTATCGGTGTGACGACAGAAGAAGTAAAACGCCGTCTACAGCTCATCGACCGCCCGGTATACATTGGATTCTGCCATTGCAGTGATGCTTTTGGCAATGAAAATACTGCTGCCTCGGATGGTTCTGAAGCTGTTGAAGTTTCTGATGCTGCGGAATCCTCACCGAGATCGGACACTGCGTTATCGGAGCTGGTTCTGCCTGTATTTTTGCCTGGAGAGTTGTGCTACGCTAACGTGGAGACTAGTATGCAGAGGCTGGTGCTTTCGCACGACGGATCATGCCTGTCCCACTATATCAGTGGAAAACTGTTCATCACGAACTACCGATGCTTCTTCACGCGTCTACTAGGTCGCGGAGAAATTGATTGGCAGATCCCCGTGCTCTCTATCGCCTCAATTGACCGCATCGACCCTCACGCGAGTGCAACAACAGGACCTGCGAGTCTTTCCGTGGAAAACGCGCAAGTTGCGCTTGGTTTCGCTCCAGATGACTCATTCAAAGTCGTGATTCGCTGCAAAGACACACAAGTGGCACGACTGTCCATCACAGACCAGAGCGAGTATAGCAAACTTGTCAAGTGCTTAAGCTTCTTAGCTTTCCCGTCAAGCTTACTAGATGCTTTTTGCTTCGCGTATTCTCCGACTGTGGCTCCATCCGAAGAAGTGCAATTCGACATTCGCCAGGAGTATAAACGTATCGGGTTGCTATCTTTTCCAGAGCATCTGCGCTGTATCGACCAGTCCTCGCAGTATACGCTCTGCGAGACATACCCGCGGCATCTTATCGTGCCTGCAGATATCTCGGATGTTCGTCTCAAAGCAGCCGCAGCGTTCCGGGCTCACCAAAGACTCCCTGTGGTGAGCTGGATTCATCCCAGTAATGGAGCCACTATCGTTCGGTCCAGTCAACCACTCGTTGGCTTGAAATCTGCGCGCAGCGGAGAAGACGAGTTGCTTGTGACGCTGTCGTGTTGTTCAACCAACAAGAAAGCGTTCGGACGCTATGTGATCATGGATGCACGCAGCCAGCTTGCTGCCGTGGGCAATAAGGCGCTGGGTAAAGGAACGGAGATTTCCAGCAACTACCGTGGTGCTAAGCTGATATTCATGAATGTTGAGAACATTCACTCTGTGAGGCAGTCACAAGTCTCGTTAGCTGCAATTTTTGAGCCTAAGAAGAGTGCGAGTGAGGACACATCGAGCAGCTTTTACGGACGCATCGACAGTTCTGGTTGGTTACGTCACGTGCGACTAGTTCTAAAGGCTTCGGTGGAGTTGGCGCACACGGTACACAATGGCATGTCCGTGTTAACGCACTGCAGCGATGGTTGGGATCGTACGGCGCAGATGGTCGCGTTGGCTGCGTTGATGCTGGATCCATATTATCGTACTCTGCGTGGGTTCCAGGTACTCGTTGAGAAGGAATGGTGTGCATTCGGGCACCAGTTTGCTCTGAGATGTGGTCATGCTCGAAGTGACGTCTCAAATGAGCAACGTTCGCCCGTGTTCCTGCTCTGGTTGGATTGTGTTTGGCAATACATTCGCCAGTACCCGACGGAATGCGAGTTCAACGAGAGCTTCCTCCTCGCGCTTGCAGACCACGTTTACTCGTGCAAGTTTGGCACGTTCATGTTCGATTGCGAACGTCAGCGGTGAGTACTTATTACTGACCTCAGTTTCTTCAGTTGACTTGCTTCTTACAGATTTTGTTGCTGCTATTTTTTCAGGAAGGATTTTTTCGCCAAGCATCGAGTTTTCTCGATCTGGAGCGAGATCAACACCCAAAGCGAGCGCTTCACAAACCACATGTACGCACCGAGCGAGCAAGCGACGGTATTGTCTCCCAGCACGCTCTCCAAGAACATCAAGTGCGTACCAATTCTGAAGTTCCTTTGTGCAGTTGTTTGTACTAAAATGAACTGCTTTATATTACAGACTATGGAAGGGCTACTTCTGCCGCTGGGACCCGACCGTTATCCCTCCCGTTCCTGCTTTCCAATGTTACTGAGTTGTTCATACCTCGTAAAACAATGCGTACTGGTGTCTTTCTTTACTGCCGTTCTTAATTCTAAATCTAATTTTTTTTCAGAATTTGAAGCAGCTGTCATTTTGCTATTGGCGGAGACACTAGAGACGCGTCAGCAGCTATGGCGCTTCCTCCTCCACCTGCGCTGGCCGCCATCGCTGCCCCCTGGGTCATCATGTTCATCTTCGTCGTCTGGGCGTTCTTCCGTGGTCTCAGCTGCTCGATCCCTCGTTCAGCTCGACCCTCTAAAGACACCAAGCAGCTTCGGGTAGGATTCCTGCACCCCGACTTCGGTATCGGCGGTGCTGAGAATCTCGTGGTGAATGCTGCGGTGGCGTTGCAACAGTGTGGAGCTCATGTCACCGTGTTCACAGCCCATCATGACGTAAACCACTGCTTCGAAGAGACACGTGGCGACGGACCACTAGCTGCTCATGTGCGCGTACATGGTGACTGGCTTCCTCGCACGATCCTGGGCAAGCTCTACGCGTTCTGCGCAGTCGTACGCGTGCTATTCGTGACACTATGCATCGCCGTGTCCTACATCAATGACGTTGATGTGTTCGTAGTGGACCAAGTGTCGATTTCCATCCCATTCTTGCGTGCACTAGGCAAACCTGTGCTCTTCTACGGTCACTTCCCGGACAAGCTGCTCTGTATCCGCTCTAATTCACCCTGGAAGCGCATGTACCGTGTACCACTGGACTATTTGGAAGAGATCACTACCGCTGCGTCGGATATCATCGTAGCTAACAGCAAGTTCTCGCGTGGAGTCTTCCAGGAGGTTTTCCCACGTCTACGCTCAAAGAAGCTAGGAGTTCTTTACCCACCGGTGGATGTCAAGGCCTACAAAACCACAGCGGATGCCGACGTACAACGTGATTCAGGTCTGTTTGTGTCGCTTAACCGCTTTGAGCGTAAGAAAAACGTGACGCTGGCCATTGAAGCACTCATGGAGCTGCGCAGCAGACTACCGAGTGAAGACTTCCAGCGTGTCAAGCTTATCGTTGCTGGAGGATACGATCCGCTTAATACAGAGAACAAGGAACATCTAATCGAGCTCCAAGACGTGGTTGCGAAGCATGGTCTTAAGGAGCACGTGGAGTTCCGTACATCCGTCTCGAACTCCATGAAGCTGGAGCTACTGCGCAAGGCTCATGCTATCCTTTACACACCCGACCGCGAGCACTTCGGCATCGTCCCCGTCGAGGCCATGGCATGCGGTACTCCTGTTATTGCTGTGAGTTCTGGTGGCCCGTTAGAGTCCGTCGCTGACGGGGAGACGGGATTTCTATGCGAGCAGAAGCCAGAGGCATTCGCCGAGGCCATGGCAGAGCTTTGTGGACCCAAACACAGCATCAGAGTCGTCGAAATGGGCGCATGTGGCAGACTGCGTGCCCAGAAACTCTTCTCTCTGGAAACTTTCGGCGATACGCTGCTTGAACTGGTTCACCAGGCTGTGTACGGTGAGAAGACTGCGTAGGTTAGTGGAATTGTTTGATTTCTAGAGATAAGTTTGGATTCGCCTTATACTTTAGCTGACGGGATTTTGAATCAAAAGCTGAAGATATGAAGAGTGCAGATAATTAGCAGCCTCCGCAGAACAACACCTTGCAGAAGTGAGCGAAGCCGGATTGCTGGTGAGTATGGCGCTTGCGGAATCTCTTGGAACAACTCGAAGACGAAGCGGACAATGAACTGTCCGTTTCGCGGCACTGACTCACATACTTCTGCAGCATAGGAGCGTTCTCGTAATAGTGTCGCGAGTCGAAATGTGTAGGTCGTACACGGTCGCGATTCATCACTTCTTGTACGGGTAAAGTACCGGAGTCAGCGTGACGAGACTTTGGATTAACCGCTGGGAGCTTGAGATAGCGGCAAATGGAATTGCATCGGTGCGACGAGAGGAACTTCTGGAAGCCCAAAACGCCGAGGTTGCCTTTGCCAAAGTCGTGGCCGTTGAGTGTATGGATCTGTGGGTCTGTGTACAGATCCCCCACGCCTTGGATATCCACAGCTAGTAGCTCATGATTCGAGGCTTCGTACGTGAAGTGAGAAAATGCTTGTGGGGTATTGCGTTCATCGTCGCTTACTGACCCAAAGTTGTTGTTGTGCTTGCGGTATTCTCCTGGGATGTAAGCCTCCACTGCGCACAAGGCACCATTTCGCTCGGGTAATTCTAACACCCACGCTGGGATGAACTCGACACGTTTGGGTGGAGTGTAAGAGTTGTAGACTTGAGCGTAGTGAGCGCAATGGGCTTGTAGTTCGATGTCTCTGAAGTACGTCTGCGGGTCTTCGTCCGGGTCGATGGCTAGCTTGGCCACGTAGCTACCAGTGTAGCAGCCACCATTAGACAAACTCGCGGAAGTATCCGTGCTCAGATCCTGCAAATGATACACAATCCGGAGACTTCCTTTACTAAATGGCGTCTCGTCCAGATTGATGAACACCTGCTTGCTGCTCCATTGGCGCGTGGAGTAATCGAACACGTGCTTGATAGCGAGCTCCGGACTGACACCCCGGAAGTCCGGCGCGTGTGGAACAATCAGCGGCAAACCTGGCAAGCAAGAAAAATATCAGTTTATTTTTTCTAGCTCTCGATAGTCATAAACCCCACCTTCCGTCCGTCGGAACGACATACGTCTCCTCTGGGTGACTGTATTTTGCGTGCTTGATGCTGGTGCCAATGACGAGAACGTGAGTTCGTCCACAATGGCACATTTGCGTCTACAATTTCATTGAAATTTGTCAGAGGACCAAACCAACTCCAACCAGATCAAATTTTACATACCGTTCGTACTCTTCCTCCGTGATGAATCCTTCATCACAGAGCGCTCGGAGCGTCGATATCCTGGCCAAGATGCTGTCCTGCATGTTTCCAGCGATCTCGCGCGTGCGTTCCAACTGCACGGAGCTGTCGAGACTGTTTCGACGTTGGGTGGAGCCCACACTCCACGCATATTGCTGTGAAGCCGTATCATCGTCGCCGTCACTGTCGCTCTGGCGTTCGCCAGCCTCCTGTTTGAACAGCTTAGCCTTACGCTTTTCCGTAGGCGTTGCAGCCGATACCGTGTGGTAGAACCAGCCATTGCCATCTTTGACGTGGGCCTCCCCCGTCTGTTGACCACAGGAAGCGCGACGTGGCGGAGGAGTCATCGACAACACGGCGCCTCGTGCAGCCATAGCTCGAAAAAGATCGCGACGAAACTGCTGCCGAGAAAACTGCGAACTGAGATCTACAGCTACTGATGAAAGAGGCTAAGATGCACGATATTATTGCCTCTACCACTTCAACGACATGAATTGCTATCGGCTGGCGTAACCTTCAGTCAAGAATAAGTAAACCCTTCGATAGTGCATAAATAATATCAAAACTGATATCGAGAATAAATAAGTATTGTGAAGTTGAAGGGACTGAAACCTTTTTGAGCAAGCACTTCAACATGGGTTTTCGTCAACCGAGTGTCAGTGCAGAAATTACGTCGAAGGAGTCAATGCCCGACCGTCGCGCGTTGGTCAGTGATGCGTGCACCAAGGTCTCCAATAGTGACAGCGATACCATTTCCTTTAGCCCGATGGAAGACGCGGTTCTGTCGAGCGAGTTCATGATTTCTGCTCGCGTCAAATGTGCGCGATTCGTGCCACGTTGGGTATCGAAACGTCGATGGATCGTGCTCCGCGGCTCCAAATCACCGATTCTGAGTGTATACCGTCACGACCCACGGCGTCCCGAGGACTGCGTGCCAGTTCGGATGCTGCTGCTTGGAGGGGATACCAGGATGAGAGTCGTGGGAGAGAAGCGGCTGGTGTTGGTGAGCTCCAGGGTGCGCAAGGACGACACGCTGTCACTGGAGTTCGACACTATTGAACAGCTTCAAGCTGTCCGTGAAACTCTAAGCCAATGGGTGGCACTTGCCGTGCTGTTGCAACGCTTGTCGATCCACGAGAGCATGGCAAAAAGCCCCACCTCGGCAGTCTATCTCTGTCACGACTACGACGATCCGAAGAAGCAGTTTGTGCTCAAGCGTGTCCATCGGTCTCATGGCTACAGTGAACTAAATGTGACTGCTCGCATCATGGCGTTGGGTCAGGAGAACCATGAACTGGAGCAGTATTTGGCGCAGTACTTCTACTTGTTTGAAGATACCAAGGCCAAGTGCGTCACCGTTGTCATGAAGTATTACCCTGGTGGCACACTAGCCGACAGAATCCATGAACGTGGGCCTCTACGCGAAGCAATGGCTTGCAACATTTTAGTGTCACTGTGTCGAGCGTTGCAACTACTGCATGAAAACCAAGTGCTGCACTTGGATGTCAAAGCTAGCAACATCCTTTTCGATGACGCACCGACGGGCAACTTTAGCACTTTAAAGCTTGTGGATTTCGGTAGCGGCGCGAATATTGACAACTGCGACGTTGGCGAAAAAATGATAAATGCTGGAACTTATGGCTGCATGGCTCCCGAACGTTTCGATGGTTATTGCGGACCGGAGGCTGACGTCTACGGTGCTGGGATCGTTTTGTATCACATGCTATCTGGTTCAATACCATTTTCAGGTGCAGATCCCTACCAACTCCTGGCGCGCAATATGATCGGTGATATTAGTTTCGAGGAGAAAATATGGCAGCACGTGTCACCACGACTACAATCTCTCACTTCTAGAATGCTCGACAAGAATCCAAAGGAAAGAATCACCCTCGCAGACATACTGAGTCTATCATGGCTATCCCAAGAACCAGAATCCATTGACTCTATATCACACAATACCGAGTCCCAGTCATCCAATTGAAGGTCCATTCTACCAGATCAAAGGCACATTCCACCGTCAAGCCCTCCAAAATGTAATGGAGGAGACTTTAGGTGGATGTAGCAGTCTCGTACACTTGCAGTAGCGCATCATCACCGCCCGATACTAGCCGCGTTCCTGTCGAGTTGTACGCAACACTCCATACCTAACAATACGAGCTAGTGAGTCCATATCTTGAACTTAATACATGAAAATGAATGTCCTCTACATACCTGGTCTGTGTGCGTATCGAAAGTAGTCAAGCAGCGTCGTGTGCCGATGTCCCAAATCTTCACGCGGCGGTCAGCACCACTGTCATTGAATAAGCCTATTGTTAGACAATCTATATCGAAATCAACGTAGCATATCTCAGTAACATACCCAGTAGCGAACTGCGTGCCATCAGGAGAACAGGCAACGCTCAACACCCATGAGACGTGACCAGACAGAGTGGCAACGGCATTGTCGTGAGTCCTACATGCCAATCGATTTTAGGTCAAACCATATCTTGCCAGTTGGCAACATCATACTCTACGTACACATCGTAGACATTCACGTGCATGTCATCGGATGCAGCGAACAGCTTCCCATCGGACGAGTACGCCACAGAGCGTACAGGCTTCGTGCGGTCTGTAAGCAGTAAAAGACAACAAGATGAGATTCTTCGTTCGGCAATCCCAAACACATCATCTATAGCCCCATACCTTCGTATTTGTGGACCAGCGAGCCAGTCTCGACGTCATACACGCCGACAAAGCCATCGAATCCGCCGCACGCAACGTGTTTGCCATCTGGGGACTGCAGCATCACGTCAACGGGTTAGTATCTATTGCCATTCACACCGAATCCAGTACCAAGACGTACGTAGGCAACGCTGAGCACAAATTTAGCCTGCGTCGAAATTTCCTGCACGATCTTCTCCGCCTTGATATCAAAGAAGTTGATCTTGCCCTGCTGGCTGCCCGACACGAGCTTCGTTTCGTCGGGGCTATAGGCCACTTGCCAGAGTTCGCCAGGTCCAGCATCGATAGTCTTCTCCACGGCGCCAGACGTGAGATTAAGGACGCGGATTTGGCAGTCCAACGAACTGGTGACGGCGTGTGTTCCAGCCTTATTGCCCACGATGGAGATCGTGCCCAGGACGTGGCCTGGGTATTGCTGCGAGATGGACACGGCATCCTCCGTCACGTCCCTACATAGATACAAGCAGCAGTCAACACCTCCTTTCTCCTCTTTGTTCGCTGCTGAGGACGCACCAAGACTTGGCGACTTCGTCCACGGATCCAGTCAAAATCTTGTCATTGGACGTCCAAAATGTGCTCCAGATGCCGTCGCTGTGAGCGTTCGGGAACTGGACTGATGCCCGGTACTGCATGCAATAATACAAAGAAGGTTAGTGACGAGGTTAAAGACTGTAGTCCCGACGGATATCGCCTCCAACGACACATACGTTCGCTCTCGCCGCCATGGCTCCAGCAATAATCGCAATTGCAATTCCCAGTCTGAATCGTACTTAATTCGAAAGTAATGTACCGTGATCCGTCAGTTTAATCAGATTTACAGTTGACATTTTGGCGATGCTGCGTCGAACGCTGTCGGTACTGGGCGCTTATAGCTGGAAGGATGTGGCGTATGTGGGCGAGTCTCCACATGCGCTACAGGCTTTAGACATCGCCATTCCACGGAGGATTCCGCCGCGTTCCAATTTGCCAACGTGTGTGTTTGTACACGGTGGATCTTGGCAACGAGGGGACAAGAACGGTGGGCTGAATCAAGACATTGACGAGGCGTTCGTCGGTGCGGGATACTTGGGCGTCTCGGTGAATTATCGGCTGTCACCGGAAGTGCAGCACCCGGAACATGTCAAGGATGTGGCTGCTGCAGTCACGTGGTTATACCGGAACATTGCCAAGGTGAATGCCCTGTTGAATGTTTGGTGAACGCTGGAGTGAGCCAGTAACTGACACACCGTTCGCGCGTTGGCAGTTTGGAGGTGATCCGAACAAGTTAGTGCTGGTGGGTCACAGTGCTGGTGCGCATTTGGTTATGCAGATTCTCGCCGATCCGCAATATCTGACCGCAGCAGGGATGGAACAACCAATTGACACTTTCGTCAAGGGAGCTGTGGGTATCTCGGGCGTGTACAATATCGTACGCCTTGCCAACACATCGTTCTATGGAACACTCGTAACGAATCCACCGTTTGGCGAACGTGCCGAGCAGTGGCGAGAGGCTTCGATCGGGATGACAGTCACCAGAGTCGGGACTACCTCGCCACTTACCAAAATGCCTCTGCTGCTTGTGAATGCCCACGAAGATTTCCACTTCAACGAAGACGCACAAGAGCTCGAACGATGGCTAACTGCTGCGGGAAATGTACGCATTCAAAGGACAGTCACCTTTTAATTTTCCTTATTGCTAAACCTATTTCATGTTCACCACCGTACAGAATTCTATCCAGCGTCACGTCATTCCCACTTGCAACCACTTCACCATTGTCGAGCAGCTTGCCAACGACGACCTCGATTCCAACCCGACGATGCAGCTGATCAAGTCATTCGTAGCAGAAATCGCCGACCCCGACGAAATCTCCCCACTCAAAAACACATTTAACTAGAATAAATCGCAAGTGGCAATATTTTTGTGTTCATTGACATATCTGCTGCATGTACAGTAGGTATCTGCACTTGTTCAAACTTGCTTCCGTTCGGTGAAGGCTCGCATGACGCAGCCAGATCCAGCTTTGGCCACCAGCTTCTGGTGCCAGTCAAGCATGGCCGCGCTCTGCGACGCGATGCCCAGAAAGCGCATAATGTACTTCATGAGGTTGTCTTCCAGCGGACTGGGGAGCGAGTCGATAGCGCGCTGCATCTCGCCCTTGTTGCAGGCAACAAGCGCTGCCATCACAACCTTGGCGTTCTCGTCCTTCACCGCATCATTCTTGGACAGAAGCGGCGGGTCCTCCAGTGCTGCGCGTACCGCCTCCTCGTTCTTACGCTGCGCCAGCAGCCCCTGTACTTGCGTGGCGCGGGCCTGCACGGCCGCCGCGATCTGGGCTTCGTCCGCCATCTTCACTTTAGCTTCTCTTGGACTTTGTATGAGTGTCACAAAGCGCATGATTGTTACCAGAAATGGCAAATATGATACCGTGTTTGACGGGTAACATGTTCCTTCAACCTGCACAGTGCTCCACGGATACGAACGAGATGCTATTTAGTAGCTTGATGCTGAGCGAGTCGTGCAGCAGAGACCATATTCGACATAGCACAAATAAAAATATGATTGGAGGTAAATAAATGAACAATTACTTCTGCTGCAGTCCGATGTAGTGTCGTCGATGGATTGACACCGGCAAGAGCACGGTACAAAAGGAAACGTGTCTTTCACTAACCGGTCAACTTGTGTTACGCACGGTGCCTGAATCCACCTTCTCAATGCGACTACATGATGTTGCAGATGATTGGAATTGGCAGGAAGCTGTACGAGCGGCCGCTGTCGGGAAGTACACATTGAAGTACCAATGCGTTAGCCATCTATCCTCGCATAGTAGAACGTCGCGATTGAAATTCCACACCCAAAACTTACACTACAACAACAGGGCGACGGTGCTGCAGTAGAATCTGGTTCTGCGCGCCACACGCAGTGCACTGGAACGTCGACCCGTGCGTGGCGTTGCGCACCACGTGCGTCGTGCCGCAATTGCCACACTTGTATGGCATCTCGGCCTGAGAAACAGGCTGCGCTAGTGCCATAGCTTGGCCCCCTTGCTCGTATTGAGCTTGTAGCTGGCGTGCCATCTCCTCGTCACGCGACGTATCATTCTAAGGTCAACAGTTAAGCCTTATTCAGTGCAACTTCCAATCATATACAACAGCCACAGCGCGGCACTTTACCTGAATGTTCATCGGGACCTCTTGAGCCCGCGGCAGTTGCGGATACATGGTCTTGTCGCCTGGAGACGTCATGATGGTTCTCAATGTTGCTTCTCTTCTTTTTGTTCTCAGACTGAATCAGAAATTCTCAGTCCGCAGTGGTGGCCAATCAGCAATCACGCTCGACGGCGTCATTGTATCAAATTGGCCAGGCCGTGGGGATTGCTCGCTCAGGTAGACTTAAGTGGAGCGCTTGGGCGTCGGCATTGCTCTGGTTGTGGCGGTAATGGGAGCGCTGTATCTACCACAACAAGCTGTGGGCGATGTCGGCACCAGAAGATACTCCGTTATTTTAATCTCGTACGGTTGCTGAGCGCACAGACA